CGCTAAATACGGRYAYATCTAGTTTARAACACTACCTAAGCAGCYCTAGGATAAAGTTAYRATAGACTTTATAACTAAGCTACCGATYTCCGAGGATCGAGCTACTAAGGTTAACTACGATATAATACTCGTTATAGTCGACCGACTTACGAAATATGCACACTTYATTCCTACTAGTAAAACCTTTACTATAGAGCAACTCGGCTACCTTATTATAGATAGGCTTATTCGATACTACGGATTTCTAAAGGTCTTTATTACCGATAGARAYAAGCTCTTTATATCTAGCTACTAGAAGACACTTATCGGAACCCTTAGGATTAAATACAAGCTATCGATAGTATACTATCCTAAGACGGATAGATAAATAGAACGAATAAATTAGATACTAGAATAGTACCTTCGAYACTAYRTTAATTACGYATAAGAYAACTAGGCCGYACTATTRCTAATAGYATAGCTARCGCTTAAYAACTAATAGTCGGATACGACGAAGACTACGCTATTCTTTTCGAATTTTAGTCGAAACCCGAACCTTTTCGRAGAACCTTCGTTATACCTATAGGCCGAACGGGCTATAGTTAYATCCGAGGACCTTAAGGATCTCTATAACGAGTTAGAAAACAGGATCCTAGATTTATAAAAAACTATAGCTATACCGCGAAATGCTAAACGAAAAATAGCACYTTAGCTAAAGAAGGGRGATAAGGTCTACCTYCTTATAAAAAATCTAAAGATAAGAAGGAAGACTAAGAAACTAGACTAAGTTAAGGTCGGGCTATTTTTAATTAACGAACTACGAGGACTAGTTAACTACCGCCTCGAACTACCGCCTAATACGAAGATCTACCTAACGTTTTATATCTTATTATTAGAACCCGTAGACGCCGATACTCTATACTAAACTACGTTCTATTTCTAGCTAGAAGAATAAGACACCTAGAAAGTCGAGAAGATCCTACGGTAATAGGGTTGGGAATATTTAGTTAAATAGAAAGGGTTCGACGACTTAGAAAATACCTAGTACTATAAGAAAGACCTTAGGAGCTACCGCTAGCTTCTTAAGCAATTCTACTAGGATTAAGGAACCCTAGCTACTTCTAGAACTTATTAGGGAAGCCCTCGAGGGCGCCCTATATTATAGGAGATAGCGAGAAACTAACGGACGATTCCGGAAGAGCTAACGTAGTACTCTCTATCGCTTCCTCCTATTCTAGCTCCTTAATATTCGTTACCTCTACCGCGATCGCGTCGTCCGTACGACGATCGATAAGATCTATCTATTACTTTAGCTATATCTCCTTAGCGTAGGTAACTTAAGAAGCCTCTTACGCCGCCTCTAGAGCAAGGTATATATTTTATTAAGCGCGCTTAGCCTCCTTAATACCCGCTCGTAGCTTTTCCTTCTCTACGCGAAGACGATCGAATTCGGACTTCGTAACCTAAATGTCGTATCTTTACCCGCGACGAATATACTTATTATATTTTCTAGAGCGAACGTGTACCTTATATACCCTCTAGTGCTTCTTATACGTAGAGTATACTTTAACTATTACGGAACCTTAGGAGTCGAGGAAATCCGCGAGCTTATATCGGCATTAAGTAGAGGACTCTATAGGATATTTAGGTATCGTAGAAAGAGGAAGCTATAACGACTAATATTAGCGGGATACGCGACTTCTTAATAACTAGCTTCGGGACGAAGCTAGGCCGGAAGGGGGATAGTATTACGGAATGTCTCCGCGGGGTCTCCCGTAGTAATATTCCCGTATAGGAATATCTATAGGTAACGACTAGTATAGGAGAGCCTATATAGCTAATATATTTTAGTTATACGTAATAATAGGGCAAAGCGGAAAGAATAGGATCGCTCGGAGAGCGACCTAATTATATAATTATTCTAATTAAAGAAGCACGGACCTCCGAACTTCTAATTAGAATAAATACACTAAGCAYGTTAAGCAAATCGATTAGTTCTAATTAACATGCTTAATATAATTATTATAATTATTCTTATAGTTAGTATATATAGAAGCGATATAATCCCCTATAGAGAACATCGCGTATAACTTACTATTTTATCTTACTAATTAGAATTATATATYCTACTTTACTTTACTTTATAGACTTCCTATAAGCTCTAACCCGATCCCGCCTAGCTTAGCCTTATAGCTTAGCTTAGTAAGATTATCGAGATTTTATATCTTAATACGGCTATAAAGGTAGGTAATCCCCTCGCTTAATTTAACTCTATTACCCTCGAGTAATACTAGCTATAGTATTACCCTCTATAAAGCGGCTATTATTACGTAGAACTAGCGTTACTAGAACCTCCGTAGCTTATTAAGCAATAAGCTTACTTTGTCCTTACTTAGCGAGTTGCTAAGTAAGGTAGATTCTAAACGTACGCTAGCGTACGAGAGTTTCGTTAGTATTATCCTCTACTATAAAGTAGTTCCTATAGAGGATAAATAAGTTAATAATAGCTATATTAAGAAGGAAGTAGAATAGTAGATACTATAGCTTATAGGCCTTATATTAAGTGCTATAATAGCTCCGTAATTAATTATATATATTAATACCTCCTATATAGTTATTATAAAAGGCTATAATCGTTAGTATCTATATAGTTTATAAAGGGTTAGTAAAGGCTAGCTATACGTGCTTACGAATAAAGGCTATAGTTCCCTTTAGCCTCCTCTAAGGCCTAGTAACTCGGTCTAGTAGCTAGTAGCTAGTTATAATAAATTAAACGAGGTTCTTATCTTACTAGAGGACCGAACATACGTTATAGTAAGCTCGTACTTAGATTAAGTCGTATAGGAACCGTATAGACTTCCTATTTAGTTTAGTAGTCCGCGTATTATCGGTAGTTTTAGCCTTAGACGGTTTATTAAAGGTAGCGCCTATTTATAGCTACGATTTAGAGACGGATCTAACCGTGCCGGTTACTATAATTCCCTAGTATTATAGCGTAGCTAGCAAAGGTGTGTTATTAAATAGATTGTCTATATAGATATAGTAGAAATATTTAGTAAAGTTAAGCTAAAGTACGAGTCTAAGTACGGCCCTAGGGATTTTACTTAGCTACTCGGTAAGAGATACGATTAGACCGGATAGCTCCCGCTCCTCGTATAGCCTCGGACCGAAGAAGCCCTAGTATATCTACTATAATTAAATATCGGACGGTTTACTATTAACTACCTTATTCTTTATAAGAATACGCTTTCTAGACGGCTAGCTACTAGTAGTAATACGCTTAGTCTCTATAGTAGCTATCCTCTTTTTTTTCTAACTTAGAGCGTTTAGTTCTATAGTAGTCAGGTCCTCCTCCGCGAAGACGCTTATATTCTAAGCCTTACTACGATATTACTCGAAACCGGCCTTCGGAGATAAGAATAAGAACGACTATAGGTAGCCTCTTTTATAGAGAGTAAGGATGTAATAGCCTATCGGTATCGGCTTCCCTTTTATTATTATCTTATAGCTAGAGCGGCCTATAAACCGGATAAGAACCTTATCTACTAATATATAAGTTCTAGGTATTATTATTAACTTAAAGAGCTCTCGTAATAGCTCTATAAGAGGTAATATCTACTACTACGGAGGTGTTCCTTTCTCGTACGTTCGAGGCTCTCTAAATTAAAGATAGGCCTTAATTTACTTCTACCTCCGGAGCGATATATAGTTAGTAATTTAATATAGTAGCTACTTACTATCCTTTCTCTAGTAGTCGCTCTTATCCTCTATCCCTACCGCTAATATATAGATAATAATAGTAATAAACACCTTTATATTAGTAGTAGAGACCTCCTTCTATCGATTACCGTATACCTTTACCCCCTTATCGGTAGCTTAGCGATAGGACACTAATCTATTCTCCTCCGGAGGTAAGAGCTTAGTAAATTTAAAGATAGCGTACTCGTTCGTATACTTAGCTATTATCTTATATACCTCCGCGGTAAAGAATAGTATAAAGAAGCGTAGCTAGATATTACTAGTAATACGCTAGAACTACGAAGGCAAGTTAATAGTTCGCTTATACTCCTTACTAGCCGGACAATCCCTACTACGTAGTAGCGAGAACCTTATACCGTTTATATAGGCCTTACTACCGCCGTTCTTAGGTATTACGAGTGTTAGATCCGCCTTAATATTATTCTTAATCGCTAGTTCCTTATCGGCTCTAGTTAGTACGAATTAACGGCCTTATAACTCTCTTAGAGTAGTAGTACTAATAACAAACTCTAGCCGGTTAATAGTTAAATTAAATTGCTACTTAGTACTATAAAGCTCTTTATCTATATTACTATTACTATCTTTATTAGATAGCTAATCGATAGCAACACTATCTAATTCGTTAAAGCAATCTATTAAGAAGCTACTAACTATATTATTTACGTATAGCTTAAAGGTTTAATATTGTAGTGCGTACGCTAGCTACTTATAGGGGTGTTATACAGACCTTCTTATACCTTACAAGCGTGTAATAACACGACGATATCACGCACTAATCAAGCGCTTGCAAGGGCCTTAATTTTACACTGAGTTTTCAAAGGGATGGAGCAAACATGTGATGCATAATAACTGTTGGATGCAGGTTTAATTTAGATTTGGAGGAGGCGTTGGCGCTAGCAGGGATTCTTCGGACTTCATCCTACGTCTACATGCACTCCACCTGCACTTCCGTCTTTGCACGACAACGTCTCGCAACACTCACCGTATGCAAGCCAACTCGGTACGGCGAAGTGTCATCACATAACCATCATTCAGCTCGGAGAGTCAGATGAGGCTAGCACGTCGACTCTAGAAATGGACTGCATCGTGTGCGACGTAGAAGCAACGGCAGAAGCGAACGCTTATGCTCCGGCCCCAACGTGCTGGCAACATTGCCACGCGTATTCTGAGTATCTCAGACGAAAGCTGAGAAGACGGTAGATAACGCGCGCATCATCGCTTTGCTCTTTCTCTCTACATCTCGTCCTTTGAATTCATCGACCATGGCTCCGGCATCGGCAGACGGATTGAACGTGCTTATCCTAGGAGGCGGAATCTCTGGGCTGACAACAGCTTTGGCGTTGACCAAGTTCGCACCCACAGGACAAGTGCCGCGTATCAGCATATTCGAGATTCGCCCAGAGCTTGCCACAATCGGAGGMGCCGTCAACCTAACACCAAATGCGCTACGAATGCTAGACCATCTTGGAGCGCTTCCTATCATTCGGGAGCGTGGCTATGGGCGAGACATTGACTTTCTGGAGGTCTTCGACATCTACTCTGGTAAACTTGCGGAGTCTAGCTTTCGGGGACCAGAGGGCAAGGGTGTTGGGAATCCGCCTTACAAAGCTCTCCGAATCACCCGAGGAGAGGCCCTGAAAGGCGTCATTGCCGCGATCGAGAAGCATGACAACATCACCATCACCTGTGACAAGCGCACCATGAAGATCGAGGAGACTGCGGACAGCGTGACTCTTCACTTCGAGGATGGCGGTTGGGCTACTGGGGATCTTCTGATGGGCTGCGATGGCATTCACTCCGCTGCCCGCTTGAAACATGTTGAGCCAGAACGGAAGGCGACCTACTCCGGTGTGTCGAATGCGTTTGGATTTTCCCCCATCGAAAAGGAGTTCCAGGTGCACTTCGAGTGCACGGCGATCAACTTCGCTCGTAAGGGTATGCTTCTCACCAGTTTTCATTCTGGAGCCGCCGACTCGGTATATGTGGGAGCTCTGATGCAGGTTGAGGATGTCGGGTCTCGTGATGGCTGGAAATCTATTGGCGCGGACGCGGAGAAGACTAGAGCCCAGCTGCTGGAGCGATTTGGGGATGCAAAGATTCCGTGTATCAAGACTTTGATTGAAAAGACCACAGATTTCTATCTCTGGCCGGTGTTTACGCTTTCGAATCGAGGAAAATGGGCAACGGATCGGGTCATGCTTCTTGGTGATGCAGCAGTAAGTCGGAACATACCTTCCAACTAGTTCCGTCGTTAACTTTGAACAGCACGCTATGCCACCTCAAGGGGAAAGTACCGGAATTGTGTTCGAAGATACTGTCCTCTTCTCGCGCTGCCTCACCAGGTGGATGGAGAAGGGCAAGCCGAACACCATGAAAGAGGCCTTCGATGCATACGAAAGCCTTCGACGAAAGCGAATCGACGGCGCGTTCGAGGAGTCGAAGAACGTTGTCAGCACTGTGTCCGATGCGGGTTGGCTTGGACACACCATCAAGACGTTGGTCATCCCGTGGTACCTGTGGTTCACCAGTAAAATCCGCGAGGCACACTTCATCGAGGATGTCACCACCACAGACATCCAGTACTGAGGGCTGGGCTTCAGGGCAATGCCTCATACTATTGGTCTTCCAAGAGGGAAAATGCACTGCAACATTTGGATGGTGTTTGATGAGCTTGAGAGCAATTGAACTGTTTGTCTTTTCGCAATTCTCGTTCATTAATGTGATACATAGATTCGCCCAATTCTCAATATGCATAGCGACACCGCCGATATTGAACAACCTCTCCAGACCCAGAAAGAAGTCGTTCCGCTGTGAAGATTTATAGCTCAAGCAGAACAGCTCGGCTCGAAAAGTCCAAGGTTCACCAGCCATGCACCGCTATTGAATTCAGAGTACACCGTGTGGATGACCCAGCTCTCAGAATCGTATTTCGTCTCAAGGACAACGATGCCTGTAACTTGCTCGGGTTCCTGCCCCTCGCCCTTGGAGACCCAGCGAACAAAGACGGAGGTGCAAGTATGCCTACAGAAGATATTAGTACTCGAGAGTGGACCAACTCAGCGCGCGTCTGACCAAATATTGAGCTGCTCCCACGGTATAGAGGGCTGTTGACTCTGGCCCGCGATGAATTCAGCGCGACTGTTGAAAGTAGCTGTGCCGAGCTACAATGACATCAGTACCATACCATAAGGTCCCATATCGGTATCGACTTGAAACTTACATCCTGCAGAGTGTTGGGACAACCCGAGTTGATCAGTTCAATCACCGAGTCGCTGTAGTCTTTAAACTCTACAGTCAGAGATGAATTTGCCAGTTCCTCGCTGTATTCAACGATGAGGTTCTTGAAATTAGTGGCGACCTGCTGAGCTTCATTGTCGTCCATACATGATGAGTCGCGGATGTGATGTAGGCTAGATCGTTCCGCGGTATTGCTTTTGCTGCGAGCCACGATGCTCTTGAGCGGTCGGTCCGGCGCACCTAGAACATTCCATACAAGCGAGACCGAGGTGAAGACGGCGATTGAGAGACGCATGTTGGCAAGGTTCGATGGTGATTGCAAGGTGGTGATGATGGGTGAGACGAGTCGATTATGTTTCCTCCTCTGGTGAAAGAGCTACGCTTTGTCTGAGCTCTTGCGGTCTCGCTGCACAAAGTGTCCGCTTTATGTGTTTTCATTCTACCTGATTTCAGAGGACAGTGCAGGTACATTCCGTATACTCCTCACCTTGTCATACAGCCCAGCCTTGGGAGTAACAATCGGGTATGTATTGGCGAGAATTGCAATCGTTCCATGTACGCAGACGCAGCGTTGTTGGCTGATTGCGCACGAAACAGCGGCAAATCAACATTTGCAGATAGGTTTAATGTTCGCATCCGACGCTCTGTTGCTCGTTGGTGGAACTCGACATGCTGAATAGCGAGGTAGTGTGACCCGACTCGGGATCTTTCAGTATTCAAGCCACAGCTTTGCGGTCAGCTTGTTACAGCAACGCCAACCCCACAAAGCTCAACCTCCTTCGATTTCCCAGAGGCTATATAGCGGCAGAGCTCGCAGCGTGAAAGTTGGAGAGCTTATCGCCACACGCGTTCACAGGCACATTTCCTGTAGCCTCATCGGCTCGAGGGAGACTAGACCGAGCCGCAGATAAGACGTCTGGTGGAACAACCAGCCAATGCATATACGCATGAACCATACCCACGCAGGTCATCGCCGCATGGCTGAAGAGCCACATGATGGACAGATGGCTCGAGCAGAGACGCATCTCATGTCTTGGGAGACTTTCGCGAGCTGGCTTATTCAACACTAGCGTCGCCAAGTCTGGTCTTTCCATAGGCCCCGCCCATCTTCTTGCGCTCTTCCAGTGCCCTCCGATACGGCGGCGCAGTTGGTGGCTGCACGGGATCTAAACTCACATGCCCTTCCGGAAGCTTGTGGCTAGCATCCGCATCGAAAGCACTCAAGTCGCCACACGCGAGGAAGGGGGCAATCCATCTATTGGCCTCACCGTCAACAGGCTCAAGTGTGATTCCCGTCACACCATCCTCTCGGACTTTGCGGCCCGCAGATTCGCTAGGGACTGTAGACTCCAGACGTTGTAGTGGATCCTGTAGACTTGCCTTGAACCCCTTTGGTGGCCGGAAATTCGTGCAAACAATGAAGGCCTCCACAGAACTAGCTCTGCTGCTTCTCGGCTTGGCAACTGTGACACCCTCGAAAACAGTTTTGAGTTGCGAGTAGAGTATGTCGACATCCTTACCCCGGAATATCTTCGCAACGAACTTGCCGCCTGGCTTCAATACGCAGAGGGCCAGGTTGAGAGCAGCCCAAAGCAGCTGGGACTGCACGTAGATGTCGAGATCATGCAAACCTGTTACATCGGGCGCTCCATCCGATATGACAAGGTCTACTGGATGGGAGGCCTCGGTAGAAGTAGCCGCGCTCTCTGGGTCCAGCGCTTTCAGTAACAATGGAATGGTAGATGGATGGGTGATGTCGGCCTTGAGACACGTGATGCCTTCCAAAGGAGACATTGGCTGCAGGTCAATTGCCACGATCTTGATGCCCGTCCTTGAACCTTCGGTTGCAGGCGGATCAATCGACGCTGGCGTTTCGTCGTCATTTGATGCATCGTCCTGTTGGCGGAGGAGTTCCCGGTGGCGCTTGTCTTCCCAACTCGCCCTTCCGATCTTCTCGCCCTTGATCAGAATTCTCGAGAGTACCTGTGACCAGCTGCCGGGCGCTGCACATAGATCGACCACCCGTGTGACTCCCGTGAAGAGGTCGAATTCTTCGTCGAGCTGCAAGAGCTTGAAAGCAGAACGGGCGCGCCATCCTTGCTCTTTGGCCAGGCGATAGTATGCATCCCGCTTGTCTTTGGACGATTTGCCCATTTTCGAATCTGGAAAGTGCGGTTTGCAGGTCGAAAAAGAGTGGAGATTTTGCTGGGTTCGCTTGGTATAGAATTGGTACAATAGCGCGCCTCTATAATCAATATTTCACTCTACTAGCGTTGCATAGTTATCGATATGAAAGTCCAGCGCAATGGGAGTTATATAAGACGTCTTTCTAATCCGTGCTCGATCGATACGATATTCTGGCTTGAGCATCATGGCACGCACACCATCTCGCACTGCAGAGTGGTCGTCGATCTGACGGGAAGAAAGTTATTAAATGCTGGGCGACGCTGTCATCAACTGTCATGGACCTTTACAAGTCCGGTCTACATGTAACGACCAGGCTTCGTCTTTCGCTGTCGCAATTCGAGCCTGACGACCCCATCTAAGAAGAGCTAATGACGGAGTCATCAACGACTTGACCAGCACAGATCGGCATTCTCCACGCCAACATAATCGTCTTCCCAGCGTGCTAGCCTACGCATATAACCATCGCTCCATTCTGCCCTGGTGACATGTCCGATCGCACCATGTACATCGCCTCTCTATATGCAGATGCCGCCCGTTTCCGACTCCATACGCCTCGCTAATCTTGACCAAGCCCTGCCCGCTTCACGAGTACATGTCATCAAACTCTTCCTCCTCATCCTCCACAGGTTGCGGTGGTGCTTTCTTCTTAATCAAAGCCTCGCGGTCCATGGGGCAAGTCGGATTGAGCTTGAGCCATGGAGTGATACACTCTAGATCAAAGAGATGAGAGCCGTGGCAAGCCAGACGAACGACCAGAGGGTGTGGATCTTCCAGGAAGGGGTTTGAACAAATCGGGCAGCTCTGATCCGGATTCTTCTCCAACTGCTTCTTGGGGATGCGCTCGAGTTGAGCAATAAATTCATCACTGACTCCCTCCACTTCCTTGGGCGGGTGCTCAGCACTCTCCATCAAACTGCTGACCAATCTCCCCAGCAACTCGGAGCCGCCGTCTGCTGCTTGTCCTTCACCGCCGCGCATCACATCAAAGGCGTTGGCCAGTGTCCTCTGTATCACCGAGCATTAGATCCAATGTTGCGATTGTATTAAATTGGGCGCGACCTACGAATGCCGCGCTGACATCCTGAGGTAGAGGGAGGGCGTGTGCGTTTTGCGGCTGTCGGGAACCAGAAGTGTCGACGAGATCGAGTGTGCCGAAGAACGTTGAGAGGTCTGGACGCCTTCGAGGCTCATCGGGCTTCTGGCTGGCGGCGATGCCGTGTTCGACTACGATTTGAGGCGTCAGTGTAATCTGATTACTTTGTCCAGCATTGCAGCAAGCATTCTCACCTTCGTAGCCCGACATTGTGAATGAGTCTTGTTCGCAGAAAGGAGGCTACATCTTGGAGGTGTTTGAATCGACGAAGCGCGGCCAGGCAGCCATGCCGTCGTAACTTGTGCCAAGAGATTTAAAGCATTCAGATCATTCACATTCCTTTAGGTACGCTACATGCAAAAGCCCACCATGCCCTCAAGGCTTTGGTTGGAACACTTCAAACTGCTCCTCACCATTGTCATCAATCCACGCGTGAAACATGCCACCACAGTTCCAAGCAAAGACGACATGTCCCTCACCGTACTGATCAAGCTCTATACCAATGATCCCGCCCTCGCCCTCGCCGGTCTTATGCCACCTATCACCAGCGGAAAGTTGTAGTTCTCCGTGAGGTCCAGCGACTGCGGTGACGGCTTGCTGCAGTGAGATCTGCTGACCGTTACCGCTCGAGGTATATGTCGATTGGCTCCCGAAGCGTACCATTGCTGCCGCCGTCCGAGCGGCAGCAACACGAAGGAAGCTATCACCGTTGCTTGATCGCAAAGTCAGCAGATGTACAAGGACGCTAAGCGATACTTACCCGGTTCCAGACATTGCTACGCCTCTGAAGTGTGTCGAATGCTTCACGTTCAGAAAAGCTGCATCTGACGGAGGTARCGGTAGGTAGGTTGAAATGCCAGGAAAGCATTCGCCAGCTGAAGCAACCAGCTGAGACATTGGACTGGCTGCCACTGGGACGGACTTCGTTGTCTGCGTTTGCCATTCTTCCGCCCAGAATCCTGCCCCCAACGTCGGTGTATCACCAATCCTGCCAGGGAGCTTGTTCGTAAGTCCACCCGTGGAGGTCGCAACACAGAGCACTCCTCTACTGTCGAGAACAACAGCTCCAACAGTGCCTTGAGGAAGATAATCTCGTCCATTCCAGTGTATGTCCCCTACAGCACATTGGTCCACCGAGCTTAGCTCCATGGACACGTCCTGTATGTGTGTTTGGCTGGCAGTATCGCGATTGTATTCACTGTCCGCAGCCTTCTTAGCCTTGTCATAGGTCTCATCGTCACGCACCAAGCCCAGGCCTTTTCTATGCTCATCCCATCGCTTTCGAACCCAGAAATAACTGGGCTTGACTGATTCGAGTCCCCACTGATCATTCAGCTTATCACATATCTCTCCCTGCAACTGGCAATGTCCTTGCGCACCGCCTCCATCTGCCGTTTGTCCCCGGATCAACATCTCTTTAGCCAACATGATGGGACTCTTGGCTTTTTTCACGCACATCACGCCACAGCCCCTTTTGTTGTAGCCCCGCGACACCATGACGGAGGCTTCCAACTCATGAGTTCCCGCAGTGGTGAATACCGCACCGCGACCTGAGTTGAACATGCCATCAAGCTCGAGGAGGGACACGGCGTAAGTAGCGACATCGAGAGCTGAGGCGTGCGGCTCCGACAGCTTCTCATTTGCTCTGCCGAGAATTCCTAGCAGCGCGGATCGATATGCTGCGAGTGCTTTGGGCGGGAGATTTTCTTGTGTGATGTTGCCTGCGCCGCCGTGGATTATGATGCGGGGCGTCACAGGCTTTCGCTTGGCCTGCGTGTATTCCATGCTCACGAAGTGCTAGTTAGATGGTCGAAAGGAGAATGAGATGATGAGAGAGAGGGCGAGAGGGCGAGAGGAAAGGTACCCATTACCGTAAGGATACTAACCTCCGTGGTAAAGTAGTAATAAGATAGTGTTGTCTCGTGTGTTGAGACCTTCCCAATCGAATGCTTCAGGTTCTTCGCGGCGAAAGATAGGGAAGGAGGGGCAAGGAAGGAGACCGTGCACCGCGCGGACTTCCATTGTATCGTGATGGACTCGGCCATCTCACCTTCTTGCTGTCCACAACGATGAACCATTATTCCTCAAACGCTTGCCCTCCGGCACGACAGGACAGATAATACAAGATATGCCATGAGGTGAGATGAGAAGGGCCGCTGTCTAGACCTCGTGGAAGCGATTTCGCATATCTTCACGCCATTCTGGCGAGCAACATTGCTACGGAAATAACTTTTACCTCGATGGCCTGCACCAGGAAAGCATCYCGCGGAGAATCCCACCCCGTATATCCAAAGAGTCCGWGACTCGCATTCCATGAAATTCAACTTCCAAGTTAGGAGCAACAGCTCCATCTTTATCCAAGACCGATTTGCGATGAGCGAAGTGGCACTGCTCCTCGGTACTCCGTACGAGCCCGGGCCCGAGCCCTCTGCTGAGAAGAGGCCCATTAATTGTCATATCGCGCGGGGTCTATGCCTGGCCGTACCTTGGCTAAGTAACAAAGCACGTTTACTTCGTTGTGCTCCATTTCCTACTTTCCTCTGAGTGCATCGACATCTAGCCTCGAAGCTTCGAACTTAAATTTCGTATCTCATTGAAAATGTCGTACCAAACGGACCTCTTCATCAACGGGAAGGTGAGTATTGCTCCAACTGCACGTCTCTCTATTCCGCCCATAACATGGCATCAGTACACACCTGCCACCAGCGGCGAAAAACTCTCAATCTACTCTCCCAACGATGACTCTCTTGTGACGGACAACGTCCAAGTGGCCTCGGAGCAAGACGTCGACAAAGCTGTAGCTGCTGCTCGGGCTGCTTTCCCAGCATGGTAAGCAATGATTGATACGTAGCATCCACTTTCGGTCAGGTGTGCTGATCTCTTCTCCAGGCGGGATACTGCTGGCCACAAGCGGGCAGCGATCATGTTCAAGTTCGCCGATCTGCTAGAGGAAAACATTGACAAGCTCGCAAAGCTAGAATCAATTGCCATGGGCCAACCAGTCAGCATCGCTAAGAGGATGATCATGGGTCCTGTTGCACTTTGGAGGTGAGCTAGCATGCACCTTGAGATTCTAGTGCCTTCATGCCAGAATCTAATCTACACATAGGTATTACGCTGGATATTCGGGCAAGGTTGCGGGAGAATCTTTCCCACCTGACGAGGATGGTACCTATAAGATTGTCCAATACGAGCCTCTCGGAGTATGCGCGGGTATTTGTGCTTGGAATGTGAGTCTCTAGGCGTTTCCATGTGCATCGTTCGATAAACTAGGGACTGACTGCTCGACGGACAGGGCAGCCATGTTCTTGCTGCGTGGAAGATGGCACCCGCAATGGCCACAGGCAATACCTTTATTCTCAAGAGCTCTGAGAAATCGCCGCTGAGCCTGCTCGCGTATGGAGATCTGTACGTCTGAATCGAGATCAATGCTTCGAGCACATGAACCGATACTGACCCTCCATCCTCCAAGGATCAATGAAGCTGGCTTCCCTCCTGGAGTGATCAACATTGTCACCGGAGCTGGAAGCACCGGAAGTCTCCTGGCGAGCCACATGAACATTGACAAGATTGCCTTTACTGGATCGGCGGTAGCTGGACGAGCTGTGATGGTAGCTGCGGCCAAGTCAAACCTGAAGCAAGTCTCGTTGGAGCTTGGTGGCAAGTCACCTGCATTGATCTTCGACGATGCGGACATGGAAAATGCGGTGGAGCATAGCTCGACCTCGTTCTTGCGGAACTCTGGGCAGGTATGTCACACTGAAGAACGACGTCTTTGCGAGATGTTGCTTAAATCGCCGCAACGCTCACTCATGAATAGATTTGCTTTGCGGCCAGTCGGGTCCTTGTTCAAGAGAGTATCGCTCCAAAGTTCATCGAGGCTATCAAGACCGCATTCGAGAACGCAGCGTTGAAAATGGGTGATCCCTCGTTGGAAGACACAGCTTTTGGTCCACTAGCAGACAAGAAGCAGTTTGAGCGTGTGATGAGCTTCCTCGATGGCGCCAAAAGGGAAGGCGTGCAGGTCCTGACTGGTGGCTCGCGGAAAGGAGACAAAGGGACGTTTGTGAGTGTACTGGTCTCTTGGGTTGCTCTCGGTTCTCGCTGATCGTGAGTGTGCTTAGGTCACGCCGACCATATTCTTGAACCCGGACGTGAACAGCAAGGTCTACACCGACGAGATCTTTGGGCCTGCAATATCAATCAAAACTTTCAAGACCGAGGATGAGGCCATCCAGCTGGCCAATAACACGTCTTATGGTTTAGGATGTAGGTATCGGTCCGTCCAATTGCTGTCCGGGATGCTGAYTTGAAGTACAGCTACCATCTACACGTCTGATGTTGCCAGAGCGCTGCGGGTCGCAGGTCGTATCGAAGCGGGTACGGTCGGYATCAACTCAGCTTTCAGCACATCGCCTCAAACGCCTTTCGGAGGTCAGTATTGTCAGAGTCACCTCCTCAAAGCTAGTATCTGACATGGTCGTAGGCTTCAAGCAATCAGGCTATGGACGAGAGAGCGGGGCCGAAGGTTTGAAGGAGTATGTGCAACCAAAGACTATTCACATCAACATGAACGTAGGGAAGAAATAGGCTTGTATGCGAAAGACAGGTAGATTGGTCCGCCCCCGAGAGATGGTGGAACTGGAGCTCGCTGAGTCTCCTCGCGGTGAATGAACGACCACACTCACAAACAGGTAGCTATGACCTCAAAAATGCTAGGTCCTACGGAGAGTCGAATGTACCTTCGCCCAATGTCAATTCGACCATCAGGTTTCTGTTGCGTGACAACGTCTCTGACTTTGTCGGGTCGGGTAGGGCGGTAACCTTTTGTCGTAAAGGTGGCACCTTATACGCTGCAGACAGGGATCCCGGGCATACATTGTTCTTGGCGAAATCCCTCCTTTGGCGTATGTTGCCTCTTCAACGGCGTTCCTTCTTAAATCATGAACTCGCGACTTGCACCTTGATCGGTGCTTCGCCCAAGAGAGATCATCGCCGTTCACGCCCGAGTCATGTCGCATAGGAGACGAAGCTCGTTTTGCAGTCAGCRGACTCGTGTCTCATTCCCCGCATCGACCTCACCACTCACAGACTTCACGCGAGGTATACGTATCCGGTACACGGATAGCTGTGGTCGACGACGTCCTGAACGACGACCAAAGAATACTTTGCATGCACACATGAACTTGACACCTGACTACGGGCAACCATCATTTGTCTTCACGCGTACGTGCAGACGCCAGCGATGATAATTCAAACAAGGCGTACGCCATATTCGCCGCACCAAGGGAGGTAATCTACACCGTGGAAAGCGCCAGTCTGTCGCCATCTCTACGGAAATACTCGACCGACGGTCTTGCTCTCATGTCTCAATACGCGTACAGTCTTGGAAAGGCATCCTTAGGCAAGTCTGGTGAGGACACACTGCTTCATACTCCCTTGGCGGGTAACATCAGGCCAAAGTGGCGCTTTTTACTATGCATGCGCTCCGCATCTAGCTTTTAACCTAAGATGTCCGAGTACCAGCAGCAAAGACCTCGTGCTCTGATGCTGATCAGGACGTTTAGTTGGTGGTTGCATATTTAACTTCGCGTTCCTGCTCATCTTTGCTGGAGCAATAACTTGCTATCTTTCCAGCTGTATTCAACTGCACTCATTTCCAATCCTCCTTCCTATTTTCATTTCATTTCATTCCGAGATGGCATCATTCAAAGATAGGATCAAGAGTTTGATAAACAGGAAATTCCGCAACAAGCGGCCGAGTCCAACTGCAGCCAGCGGAAACCATGGGCACCATTCCACGACCCAGGCAATACAGACTAGATCTGTCGCTGCGGATGAACAAAACGCTCCAACGGCGCAACAGCAGCAACCAATTGTCACTCATAATCGCAGCGCTGCGGACGCTCAGGCAGCAGCTACAACCACGGGTACTCTCCAGATAGCGCTGGTCAATCAATCAAACTCCCATCAAGCATACGCATACATCWCCGGCCGAGCTATCGACAACAACAACGCAGTCTTCATCCTCTCCTCAGATGGTAGGACCCCGTATTATCCACCAAGTCCCTCCTCAACAGGCTCGGCCATCAACGCTAACATCGCCATCAATCTTGGTGCTCCTGGACATACTGTGACGGCCACTATTCCCCGCATAGCAGGCGGCAGGATCTGGTTTTCAATCGGCTCTCCACTGATATTCAAGGTCAACCCTGGGCCAGGCCTCGTCGAGCCTTCTGTCTTCAACCCCTCAGACCCGAACTTCGATATCAACTTTGGGTTCTGCGAATTTACCTTTAATTCTGCACAAGTCTTCGTCAACATCAGTTACGTGGACTTTGTAAGCAACGTCCCCATCGCTTTGACGCTGCAAGATACAAGTGGTAAGACCCAACATGTCAGTGGCATGAAGGCCGATGGACTCGCGACTGTTGCAGCGGGTCTACGAGCACAGACTGCCAAAGATGGAAGACGCTGGAGCTCCTTGATCCAGAGGAGCGGAGGAAAAGATCTGAGGGCCTTGAGTCCCAACTCAGGGATCACTTTGAATCCTGACTGGTTTGCTTCGTACTGGACAGACTACGTGAATCAAGGTATGGGTATCGATGCGTAGGTCCATACTTATTTGCTGATGCCAAACCCCAGTCTACAGCAAGTATCGGTCCGACCCACTGATCGTCAACACCCAGGGATCCTTCTCCAATGTCAGAGGACAGGTCAACGGTGGCAGTTCYCTAGACTTTGGATCAGGTGGCACGTTTAGGAAGCCCACGAGCGCTGATATCTTCGGCAACTCTACGGGACCGTTCGCCACAGGCGGAAACGCCCAGACGAACGGTATTATTCCCAGACTGGCTGCAGGATTCAACCGCAGTACATTGCTGCTTTCTGATACAACACCAAACGGCACGAACGCGTCGCAGTATTACACCAACCCGACAACCAATGTGAGCATCTGGAAGATTCTCTGCAAGAAGCTGTGCTGACAAACTTCTAGCACTATGCACGTATTGTCCATTCTGCAAACGTAGACRGCCTTGGATACGCCTTTCCCTATGATGATGTAGCTCCGGATGGAGGTGAGTCTGATTCAGCATTGGTTGGTCGAAATTTCATGCTGACGAATTTGATTGCCATAGGCAAAGGGCAGGAAGGGGCCATCTTTAGCTTCTCGCCGACGCTGTTGACAGTCACTATGGGTGGCAACAATGCGCATGCGGCTTGAGCGATCCGGGACGGCCCGTTCGTGCTGGTTCAGGGAAGATGAGATTTCGAAAGCGCTCTGTACTTACCTGTGTTGCCAGATTGCATTTCTGGAAGGGCCTCGATCTCAATTGATGCATTGTACCAAGGTATCTTTAGACGCCGTAACTCCTCGCTTGAACGGTTGACAACCATTTCTCGRTGCCTTTCTCAGAATGGGTTTAGTGCTGCTCTGGTGTTTGCAATGATCTGCCGCCGTAGAGCCTCTTTCCTGTCATCTTTGGCGGGCTTGATTGGTTTGGAGCCAGACGCTTTCGGTCGGGGGGTGCGAAACACAGCCTGTGTGCCCGAGTTTCGATGGGACTCGCTATCTCCTTGGAAAGCAACCAGCTTGGCTCTCAAACGATCCTCCTCATTCTCCGGGAGCAGGGGAATATCCGTGCCAATGCGGCTTTGAAGCGCCTGATCTGCGTCTGCTTCGCGCTTCAAGACTTTTCGCTCCTGCCGGAAGGACTGCCGCATCCTCTTATTCGCTGTCCAAGGATCGTCCCAATCTCTCCCTCTCGCCTCGTATAGTTCTTCAATGCGCTTCGTGTTGTCCTTCACCTGTGCCTTCTCCTGCGCTTTCCCCTCCAGCTGAGCAAATGCATCCTCTCGCCGCTGCTCTCGCTCCTCTGCGGATAGGATCGGCAAGCCTCCCTCTCCTTCTCGTACCTTATCCTCGCCATAGTCCCGTGCCTTGCCGCCTTCGATGACCACATACGCCGTGTTCTTTGGGTCAGTCCTGATTTCTATTCGCCCTCCACATGCATTGTGCTTGAGCGAGAAGCTCCATATTGGAGTCGAAAGATAGTAGCCACACTTCTTCTTTTCGGCATTAAACCGTACGCCCTGGCCGATTATGGCATGTGGGGAGCATGTGTGACACCAGACGGCGTAGGGAAGCTCAAAGCGCACTGTCTGCACGCCATTACGGGGTGTGCCTGGGGCCCTCCGCTTATGAAGCGCATTACCAGTAGTTGTTCCCTCGAGTTCTGCCGGCACGTAGCGGTTGATGCCTTGCATGTCGTTGCGCGCACAGGGAAGATGTTGATCAAACGTCTTTGTTGATCGAGCACCAAGATGATACCTTAGGGCTGAGACAGGGCTGAGATGACGATGATACCTTATCCGGGCATGCTTACTAAGTAAAGTCTGCCCGCCGCCCCGCCTGCCGAAAATAAATGGTATTTCACCAACACCAGTCACCATAGCGAACAACGACACCCTACAAGCCCATACATTTCAAGATGTCTACCGTTGCCGGACAGAGTGGCTCTGCCCACCCGTTCACATGCAACACCTGTCAGGTTGCCTTCCGTTCCGGCGATCTCCAACGCACACACATGCAGTCCGACTGGCATCGCTATAACCTCAAACGCCGTGTCGCCTCCCTCCCGCCACTCACATCTGAAATCTTTGCCGAGAAAGTACTCGCCAACAAAGCTACTGCTGCTGCCACCGCTGCCCGAGCTAGCTTCGAGAAGCGATGCGAGCCATGCGACAAATCATACTACAGCGAGGGTGCCTACGTCAACCATTTGGGCAGTCAAAAGCACAAGCTGTTGGTAGCACGCTTCAGGGGCATTGAGGGTGGAGATACCGACAGCATGGCTGATTCGACATTCACTCTCGGCGAGACTCTCGAGACTGCGAGTACTGTGACCGTTGGCGACGTGGCTGTCGAGCAGGAGTTTGAAGAGGTTGTGGATGCCGTGAAKAACACTAAAATTGGCGAGCCCGTCGATCCCGTCGCTCGCCCCAACCATCCGACTCCTACCGCCGCCGCAGAGCGTGGCGAACCGTCGAAAACGCGGGATGGGGAGTCATCCGACGAGGAGGACGATGAGGATGAGGACGAGGAAGACTACGACCACAAAGCGGATGTCAACCAATGCCTCTTCTGTAACTACGTCTCGCCCACTCTGGACCTCAATGTTAATCACATGTCGAAACAGCATGGCTGCTTTATTCCCGAGACCGACTACCTGGTGGACCYCCCCGGCCTCATCAATTACCTCAGCGAGACGGTCGTTGTCCTCCACCAATGCTTGTACTGCCACAAGCAGATGCACACTGATACTGGTGTGCAAACGCATATGCGTGATCGGGGACACTGTATGATTGCCTATAGCACCGAGGATGAGCAGATGGACATCGGCGAATTCTACGACTTCCGATCCACCTATTCCGATGACGAATCAGAGGATGGAGACGAGGAGCCTTCTGGCGGCGTCAGCCTGGGTGTGAAGAGGGAAGCCAAGACTACCATCAAGAATGAGGACGGCGAGGATGTCGACATGGACGAAGATGAGGATGGATGGGAGAGTGACGCCAGCTCTCTCTCGTCTGTTCCTACCGAGGAGATCACATCCGTACCGATTGACCGCGATCACAAGTACAAGACTCTCAACCAGCACAAACATCATTCACACGCCGACCCACGACCACATAAGAATAACGACGGATATCACGCACACGCCCACCAAGGCTCTCGTGCAGTCTATCATGATGACTACGAGCTACACCTACCAACCGGACGTACAGCTGGGCACCGTAGCTTGCGCCAGTACTACCGTCAGAACCTGCGAAACTACCCATCAGCTGAAGAGCGAGCCCAACAGGCACGCATCGACAGTGGCAGACACGTGTCGGATGATGAGGAGGAAGAAGAGGATCGCGATCGACGTGGCCGCCAGGTGGTCAGTCGTGCGGACGGCGGCATGGGCATGCTTGGCGTCAGTGAAGCGAAGAAGCGGGAAGTGCGCGCGTTGGAGAAGCGCCTTCAGAAGCAGCAGCGCAAAGCGGAAGCCGATTATCAGTGGGGCAACAACCGGAGGGGAAATTTCCAGAAGCACTTCCGGGACCATCTCCTCCAGTAGTGGGTGGTTATTCGTCGGCGAAAAGTCCGTCTGTTTCAGGCCGCTATAGTTCACAAGGGCGGTCAGACCGTGGGCATGCGTTGGCAGCTTCGTTCATGAACTACTACCTCATAAGTGTGGTTGGACGCTACTGCAGCTCACTCGAAATGAAATGTTACAGCATGACTGGGTGAATCGCTTCCATTATCATTCGATCTCCTCGATCCTCTCGCTTCCGTAGTCTTGGTATGCAGCTTGTGGTTGACCCGAAAATCTTGTGTCAAATCGTCATCGTCGAGCAAAGTCGTGATGTTGCTTATTATTATTGTCGTTGGCAAAGTTTTTGATGGAAATTGTTAAAAAATGCTCGCGTGTTTGCTGATGAAATTAAGGTAAGCTCCGCTCCCGAAGCTCCGTCGTCGGCCGATCCGCTTGTGCTGTTCCTTCTGTTTATCTTTACCTTTCAAAAAACAACCACACTCCATCGCCGTTGGTGGCCGTCCCAACAACAATTCATCATTTCCGCACGATGGATCTCCTCCGACTCGAACAGCAACGACAAGCTCTCGAGCAGAGTCTTGCGAAACTCAGAACCAGCCTCAAGTACTGGCAGACATTTGAAGCTGAATACGAAGGCTTCAAAGAAGAAGTCGAGGCTACCACCGGTGATGTGGATCTCCAAAGTATCAGTCAGGCCTACAACGGCGAACTCGTCAACGAGAAGGAAATCCGCGAACTTTCCGGCCTGAGCACGAATTCGCCACGCACTGTACCGCAGATCCTGGGAATGATATCGCGGCGGCAGGAGTACGTTCAGAAGAACATTGAGACTGTKCAGAGGCAATTCTGGGACGCCGAAGCGAAGTTGGAGGAAATTGATTTTGCCGCTCATTCTGCAAGTCGTCATGCGCACAGTACTGATGGCGGTTTGCCTTTGACGGAGATTCACGAAGAACTCGACGAGGAAGGAAATGTCATTTCTAGCAACCTATCGCAACCAGAACTTTCCACCTCCAGACTTGTGGCCGCACTGCAGAAAGCCGGACTCACTAAAAAGGAACTCTCAAAAGTCTCGAAATCAGTGGATAGTGATGACGAGGAAGAAATCCACAACGAACCCACGAAAGCGGGAGCTTCTGCTCTCCCTTCCGCTATCGTCAATGCAACGGCTCGGAGCATGCCAAACGGAGAGGTAAAATCTACGCAGAGCGATGCTGAACCCGACCGGCCTCCAATCCGTAAGAAGAGCGTCTCATTCAGTGCAGACACCAAGCCAGCTCCACTTCCGGAGCGTCGAGACTCTGAAGATGGCAAGAAGTGCGTTTCTTTCGCGGAAAAGGTTGCCGTCATGCCTGCTGCCCCTCCTCCGGACATGAGATCTGTCTCCTTTTCTCCACAAGTAGAGGAGATTCCTGCAGACACAGACCCCAGAACCGTCACATTTGCTCCTCAAGTACAAGAGATCCCGGAAGATGAACAGGCTGCGAAACCAGTCCCAGTCGACGAAGATCCAAACTCGGAGGCGCAGAAGACACTTCGAGGCTACTTCAAGCCTGGTGATAAGGTGGGCATGCTGAACGACGATGGTGAAGTCGAGTCTAGTCACATTGTCATCCCTGAAAACGAGACCGAAGAGGAGGCTCAAATACGCAGAGAGATGCTGGACTACCACCTCAATGAAGTCGGACACGTCGTCGCGGAAATGGAGCTGGAAGACGACGACATTGACTTTGAGGATGATGCTGGCTCTTCTGAATATCTCGACGAAGACACGCCATACACGACCGGCCACTCTGACTCGGACGATGACGAAGAAGAAGATCGATATGGACGCACCACAAAGCGGGTGCTTAGTGACGACTATCATAGGCAGATGAAGGAGCTTGAGAGAAGACTGATTGGTAATCTTGGGCCGTCATCCGCCACTGAGGACGTGGACGCTCTGGATCCGGAGATTGACGCGCAAGACGTGCGCAGACTGGTCATTCGTGAGAAGAGCGATTCGAGTGCCATCGCAAGCACAAGCGAAGGCAGCGACGAGAAGTTCAAAGCCAATAGCAAGAAACGTGTCAGCTTCGCTGAAGGGTTGGATGTCGCAGCAGAGTCCCTAGCAACGGCAAGCGGGTCTCACAAGGCTCAGAAGACGCTCGCAGGCGAAAACGCAGCGCCTATCGTGGAGGATGTCGCCGAACGCGCACCCTCAGCTATGCCTACTCTTCCATCAGCCGGCACTCCGGCCAAGACGTCTCGCTTCAAACAGAAACGTGCTGCTCCTCCCCTATCAGACGAGTCCAACGCCGACATTGCAGAGCCTGCGCCACCTGCGGGTAAGATTCTGGCAGATCAACTTGTCGAACGTCCGGCGTCATCGATCACTCAAGCTCCAGATCCTGACAATCCAGATCCACTTGTGCAGCGTAGAGAGCTGGCTGCTGAGTACTATCGAAGACGCAACGCCTTTAWCAAGGAGCGAGGAGGGTTCAAGGGCACACCCGACGAGGATGATGCAGAGGGTGAGATGATGGAGAGCGACGGTGAGGGTGGTTTGAAGAAAGTCAGTCGCTTCCGTGCGGCCAGACTTCGCGGATTGTAGAAGCATGATGGATGACTTGATGAAGGCTGAATTGAACGATTACGTGTGGAGCCAACATGGCATGGTCTCTAGCAGAGTCCTAGTCTCGCAGAGCTGTAGTTGAGCGCTGTGTGGAGGGGCGAAAATAGACGAACTCCACATCGCATGCATTCTCCTTCAGTCTCAAGCGGATTGGGGTGGCACGGTCATTGGAAACCTGATGGGGAGGTCCGGCAATGCGCCCTTTTTAAGTGATACCAGCATGCTTTTGTATCTCTATCAACACCTTGGCAATGTTCTATGCTGCTATGCACATTCGCGACACCATCTTAAAGTAGCGACTGACCTCACAAAAGACAGTTTTTCCCCACCTGCCCTGCTAGCCGCGGTGGCCCTGTAGACGTCGAGTTTCACCTCTGTGCGTCGAGGCGACATACGTTGAATCAACCAGATGTTCAATACTATCGTAATCCAAGCTTCCCCTATGCAATACTTTCGCCAAGACGCCTCGCTAAATCCATGGGTATCATAAGATCATAAATCGCTGCACGCAAGAGATGATCAGAACACATCCTCCATCTGCACATCCCGTGCTTCTCTTGCCCACGCCTCACTCGCCACCAAACATCCAAGACCGGAGAACGCCTCACACAATGCCCTTTTCGTGAAAGAGCTGACATCATAACCTCCGGCGCGGATCAGCGGATCTTTGCTCGCATCCTGCAAAACGTCCCAAGAATAATCGTTTGCCAGTGAATAGTACGAACTTTCAAACTCGATATCGAACGGCCGGATGGGAGTGAGAGGTTTGGCCTCGGGCTTAGCTCTTAGACCCCGGGGTTTCGACACCGAAGGCCGCAACTTCAGCAGCCATGCCGGTCGGTCAGCAGCGGGCATCTTCGCGTACTCCTCCTGCTTCTGACGCGATGMCTTGGACGGGGTGATGAGATCGAAAGCCAAGTCCTCTACTTCTTGCAGGTAATCGTTGTAGTCTCGAAGTGTCTCGAATTCGTCCTCGCCACGGTTGAAGAGTGCTGCTAGATCTCGTCGGATATCGACTTCTCGTTCTACGGCAATGTCCTCGAAAGTCTGTGTGCGGAACCGACCCTTTCGGAGTGTTTGGCGACATCCGATGATCGGGCAGGGCGCAGGTCCGTGGGTGAAGATGCGGTCAACACAGGACTCACACATTTTGTGGTAGCATGCTGGATTGATGAGGAAGCGGAGGGAAGCGTTGAGATAGCGCGAGGATTTGCAGACTGGGCAGACYTCATCTGATGCATCCATGCTGCTTGTGTTGGATGCTTTGGTGTGATGAGACATGTTGATGTTTTATTGGTTTTGTCTTCACGAAAGGTGTCTTCGCAAGTGATCAAGGAGAGTTTAGATGGCACTTGGATTGCTGTGTGAGCGAGGGGGCCAGAACAACATGACAAACCCTGGGGTTTGGGGGAGAACCAGATACAACCAGAGGGAGAGGGAAAACGTATGGAACGTCGGAGAGAGAATGTAGATTTACGGATGAGAAAGTGTTGTCTTGCTCCTTGACATTCTGAAATCTGGATTCTGTAGTCAGCTTTCAAGCTAGTCTGCTTTCGCTATCCTTCCTTTCGGGTTGAACTTCGAGGCGACATCATTGCTGCATCAATTTTTGAGCATCGTCCCAACCATTCATTCCACCACGTCCGCGCATTTGATTCTTCGCCGCCAACTCGAGATCGCTTCAGTCCCGACCATTCTACCGATTGCGACACAACTCCACGCGCCAAGATGGCGGAACAGCATGGCCACGGCCTCGATCACACCCGCGACCCATGTCCATGGGTCGCCCTCTCAGATTTCGGCGGAGCATTTTGTATGGGAGTATGTTGGGCTCGGTGTATTCCCATACGATCCACTGGCTGACTGACGCGGTGACAGGCAATAGGAGGAGCAGTATGGCACGGTGTGAAGGGTTTCCGGAACAGTCCCTATGGAGAGCGGAGAATCGGAGGTAAGAGACATCCCACACGATCTGGCATTATTTGCGCATGGTACTGATGCATGCGACCCTACAGCAATCACAGCGATAAAGGCCCGCGCACCGGTACTAGGAGGCAACTTCGGTGTCTGGGGCGGCATGTTCTCAACCTTTGACTGCGCCGTCAAGGGTGTGCGCAAAAAGGAGGACCCATGGAACGCTATTATTGCCGGATTCTTCACGGGAGGTGCACTTGCTGTACGAGGAGGTCCTCGAGCGATACGGAACGGCGCTATCGGATGCGCTATTCTTTTGGCTGTGATTGAGGGTGTGGGAATTGGTTTCCAAAGGATGATGGCCGACAGCACAAAGTTGGAGATGCCGCCACCACCTCCGAGCAGTTCTGGGAGCGAGGGCACCTTGGCAGTAGGCGCTTGACTGTCCGCGCCGCCTACGGCAATGATGGTCCGGAGTCTTGAACTGGCTGAGTTGGGATTGTCTTGAGCCAGCTCGTCCGCGAGGTCTGGCAGACATCGCCTCGTGGGACGGGAAGCAATGGAATGGACGAAGGGCGAAAGATCTGTGGGCGCAGACATGGAGTTTTAAGTCGCGAGTCGGGAATCTGGAGTGCATAAGCGTGCATTTGGCTGGGGAGGTTTCAAGATACCACGAGGTGGTCTACATTACATTACACTACACTCTACCGATCTGATCTGATCTACGAGTCTCGAATAGAGGTGACGACGTGCCATACCCGGCCGTCTCGCCCACGGGCTCTGCAGATACTGTATAACTATGAACGAGGATGTATATATATACAGTGACTTACCTCATTCACGCCAACCTTCAAGCTGTCTTCGTCGAACTGTAAACGTGCGACGGAAAAAATTACTATAACCGGACCCGTGAAGMACGAGATCGGGTATCATTTGCTACATAACCTAGGTAACGCCTCTACGGCAAAGTAAACAGCACCTCCATGCACCTCAACCCAAACTATCATGCGCGTCATCTCGTGTTCATGCCATCGTTTTACGCGTATGCTTATCGTGGTTTGTATTTCTGTAGCACAATGATCAGTACAGTTTCGCAACAACATTTGAAGATGAACCTACGTCTTCAACCTTCCTCACGTTCCCCCGGTCGATCTGATTGCCGACTCCCAGCAAAGTGGTACCCACGGCTCGTGTTGCACCAATGAAAGGTCGTAAAATCACAGTAGGTGCGTGTCTCGCCACGACTGCAGCCGCAGCCCCGGGGCCGCGACTTTCAAAGAACTCACCACGCACGGCGATGAGAGTGTCCTTGGTAGTGAGTAGATCATGCTCAAGCTGTCTCCTCGCTGAGCGTAACCCGGGAAGCACACCAAGTGGCTGGTTCGCATATGCAGAAACGGCACGCTGTTCGGAATCTTCGTCATCTGAGCCGACATCATGCCAGCCTTGATCTACGGTCCTGAGATTTGCTTTTTGGCGGCGCGATGATGTGGCAACTTCTGGAGACAGGAACTGCTCCACGTTGGACAAGGCCGTTTGCGTCCCAAGTGCGACCTTGGCTCCCAGTCGGGCCAATTCGCTGGCAGTAGTCTTTCCGAATTGAAATGCGCCTTTCTGGATGCTCCGCACGACTCGTCCATCCTTCTTGTACTCCCTGATGGGAATTGCCACTATATCTCGCACGCCACTACCTATGTTCACTAGGCTTCGCATAGGGGCAAGACCTGCCATTATGGTTGGTAGCTGGTTGCGTTGAATGTCGGGCATCCACACGTCATTCAGAGTCTGATGCAGGGTATCAAAACCTCTCAGTCCGTACACAATGGCATGCTTCAGGCGGATATTGGAAGCATCCAACCCAATGAAGTTCATAAACTCGGTCGTTTTCCCAGATCGCAAACCCACGTAATCAATGTTCTTGGGCTTGTAGTCGAGACACATGTCTACGGTGTCGATTTCCACGCGTTGAATGAAAGGCTGCTCTGCCGGTGGCCCAGAGGTGGTCGTTGATTCGTCTTTGAACTCGAAGAAACGTGTGATGAAGTCCAGGGCATCTTGGTCGACATGCAGTCTCAAGGGAAGTACAGACACCTTGAGCACAATCTCAGACGCGGAATGGCTCTCCAGGGTCTTGACGTTGTCCATCTTGATGTGGAACATGGGTTTCGACATCTCGCGCGTGGTTGTGTCGGTGTCCAGGTGCGTGAGAAACTTTCTCCAGGTTGACGAAGGTATATTGTCAAAAATCTCGAGGTCCTTGATACGCGCATCAACAGAGCTTACCACATCCCCAGTCCCTGGGGGAAAGACCAATACATCGGCTGAGACACCTTTCAATTCGAAGGCAATTTTGTGGTTCCTGCCCCGGCCAAGCTTCAAGCGTCTGCGCTTTCGCGGCCCACGAGGCTGTCCGGACGCGGAGTATGTGGTGGGCCGAGACATTCCTGAGACCGGAACACTTTCTGTCTCGCTGACCATGTCGTCGATGTTGCGATTGATCTGTCGGCGTAACTCCTGGGCATCAGGGTCGGACGGTACAGCAATGTAAATTGAGTTGAAGAGTAAGTCTCCAACAACAGATTCGTCCTCTTCTCGATCATCCAATGATTGTTGACGCCGAGCACGACGCTCTTCGGCTTTCAGCTCAAACTGCTCTACGGCTTCGACAATGCCATCCCTGGTCCGCTGCCAATCGTACCCATCATAAATATGCCAGATAGCATGGCAATCTCGCATTCGGAGTCTGAACGGCAAGTCACTCTGTTGCTTCCGGGTTCCACGACTGCCTGGGAAGGGTGCGTTGAACCGCTGTTGCATTCCAAGGGCTTGCTGTCCGCTGCCAAGGGCATCGTATCCAAGATCTTCAATCTCGTACAGACCAAGATCAAGGGGTTCGCCTCGGCCAGTGGGCTTACATTGTCGATTCAAGTCTCGCAACAAAGCAGTATCGTTGAGGCGCATCTCAGTCGGCGAGCTGGGCATCTCAAAAGGTTCTTCTTCCTCGAGGAGACTTTCTACTGTTCTGGGGTAGTCTTCGCCAATGGTGCTCTCGTCCTCATCATGGTCGCCCATTCCAGACACCCTGCTAATGGGTCCATATAAGCTGGAGGTCATCTCGGATTCGGCGAGAAGATCCGCAGTCTCGCTGAGTCCCGAAACTCCAAGTAACATGTCTGGCTCGTCTTCCTGCTCAGCTTCCGCATCGAACAGTGTTTCGGGTGGCCCGTCTGGCTTTGCGAACGGATCTCCTGTGAAGGAGGCCATCATATCTTCAATGGTCATAGGCTCAGTTTGATACTTCGGCTGCTTGCTCGGTGGTGTTGGGGGCGCGAGGGCGCCGAGAGTTGCAATCAAAGTCTGAGTGGAGTCTGCGCATGTCTCCAGCAGTATCAGCTCGTTCCTGACATCAACCTCAACTATCTTGGAGCCAGTCTCAACATTATCGGCGGCATGAATGGCGATTGTGGCTGACATGATAGAACCAACGGCAACAAATCCTTTGGTGGTAAGCGAAGTGGTCAGACACTGCGTCGTGTTTGCAGAGTCTATGGTGGTAGGAACTGTGCCACCAGGATGATCAATGTCTTGGTCGGTGACGAATATAGAAGCTTTGCGCAGATCAAGCTTCGCATTCAGTGTGTCTTCTGGTGGCACGGTCGTGGTGAATTTGGTATCGGTCAGAACCAGCAGTGCCTTCGATCGGAGCTTCTGAGGGGTGAGACCAATTGCAGAATCATGCACAAGCAGGCTGAGGTTGGTCGTCTTTTGCTTCACGCTCAAAGGATCACTCGCAGCTGTGCCGGTTCTGTCTTCCATTGCTAGGCCTGCGATAGACTGCGCCAAGCGGTCAACAAATTTTTCGACATCTACTTCCCTGTCCATGTTCGTAAGATCGAGAATGACAGGCACGCTGTACTCGATACAAGCATTGAAAAGCTTGACTTTGATGGTGGGCTCTTCCTCGTCTCCTAGCATACGCGCCATAATCATAGGCAGTCCTTCGGATCCGGAAACGGGGATCAGCGCACGAACTAATGCAGGACCGTCAACCTGGCTGGCATTGACACTGCCAACCGATAATGCGAGGAGAGGCGGCAGGCCAACGTGAGCAAGGTGTAGATCTTGCAAGGCAAGCCGCATGGTCCCAAACCGTTCGTTCACCGGAAATCGGGCTTCTGCGTCTTTGACGCGGATGAGAGAAAGTACACCCGGCCTGTCATCCTCCGGCAGGTATTTTGTGACGGCGGAAAGTTTTGCCAGATCCTTTCCTAGCTCTTCAAGCGCTGACAGACAACCCCAATCGTCGACACGGACTTTGACATCTGCAACAACAACACGGAGAAGTCCACCTTTCTTTCGCTGGCGGATGAGAGTGTCGATGAGGATGTCATCGTCGTTGTCGTATTTGTCCTTCGATGGGATCAACAGCGAAAGCAGCCTCTCCAAGTCTTTATCCTGTGGTTTGATGATGTATTCAAGTCTCCCGCCCAACGCTTCTATCGAGATGGGCGCAAGACTGGGACCATCAGGGAGAATCGGTGCGCTCAGTAAGATACGCTCAACGGTGGCGATGACACCCGCCTCTCTATGAACAGCTTTCACTGTGCTTGTTTGCAGCACGGTAGAGCATGGTGCCGCTTTGAGAGTGACTGTTATACCAGCAATACGCACGTTGGTCTTGACCTCATGACCCGTCGGTGACTGGTCTGCGTCGCCAGCAAAGCGGACTCCTTTTGTTGACTTCGCTGCAATAGGAGAGATGGCACCATTCTCAGACAAGATGGAGCTACCCAGCTCTAGTATCCCGCCCAGGCCGCCAAATGAGTCGAAGCTCTCGTCTATGGTCGCGAGGTCGAGCAAAAGCACGAGGGAAGTGGTCCGTGCGATGACTTCCGTCACTGGCCGGTTGTTTGCAAGTGCATTGTCCCATTTCATCGTGACTTCAATATCATTAGTGCCCCGTACAACCTGGGAGTTCGAGAGACTATTGTAATCTTCAGTGAAACTCAGCAGGACTTGTTCACCCAACAGCATCTTCAGAGTTCCTATCGAGAAGCAAACGTCGCTGGTTGCACGGAACATAAGTTTTTCAACCAATATGCTGAAGATATCGTGGCCAGTCGGCTTAGAGAAAGCAGATTTTCGGAACATCCCTGAGTTTGCGTTTGCTTTCAGGGAGCAGCTCACGCGTTCAATATGCAGCGATATTGAAGGAGTGGCCTTGCGTGCAGATTTGGTGGCAGAATCTTCAGAGTACTGCGAAGACGATCCAGCCTTGGTCTTGAAGGATGAAACAGCCTTTGTTGCGAACGCGTGGAACAGTCGTCCTGTTGCGATGTCCATTCCCGCGCGAATGATACCAACCTTCACRTCGACAGACGGCTCATCTGGTGTCACATCTGACTGGCCAACTGGTTTGGGGATGGTCCAGAGAGAGTCGCTGACTTCTCCGTGTATTGAGGATGTACCTCGCCGCCTTGAGGTTTCCGAGTAGGCGGAAAAGGCGCCAGGTACCGCCCGCGCTGCTTGCGCCGATTTTGCACCATACATTGATGGTAATGATTCCTCATCTACCTTCGTGGGAGTTGTGCCTACGGATGCCGGAACAGAGACCGAAATCCAGTTGATGTGAACCAGCTCGTAGACTGCCCGGGGGTCATGGTCTTCAGCCTCCACCGGAGGTGGCACTTGTGACGCTTCTGCTCGCGGAGTGTTATTTCCCGACTTCTGACCGTCGTTGTCTTCTTCGAGGCTCGTACTGTGTGTTGACTGTTGGCTGTCGGAAACTGGTAACTCATGCTGCGCTTCTGCTCCCCAACCTCCGGGCATGTTGATCGAAGGACTGTTTGTCATCGCACTCATATACATACTTTGAGCCTCTTCGTGGCTGAAAACGCGCGACTCTATCATGTCGCTAGACATATGCTCTTCTCCTTCCTCCTCAGTCTGCTCTACTTCATCACTCATATTTAGCTTAGAAGATGGCGCAGGGTCCGCCACCTGCTCATCGTGCTCTTCCTGCTCCAGTGCAGCTCTCATGTTATCTGTGACCTCGTTGTTAGCTGACGTCAATACCTGAGCAAGTGGCTCAAAGGCGCTGTGTTGGCTCTGGTCAAGTGGAGGCCAAGATCCGGGACCCTGGTTCTGGGGATGTCGATGTCGATGTCGTTGCGGAGTTCGGTCCAGTGTTGGCCAGGAGCCTGGTTTCTGAAAATTAGTGGTGAGCCCAGATGGAGCGCAGCGCTCTTTTGCTGTATGTGAACTGCTGCCGCGGGATGAGTCTGTACGTGATGTAGGATCTCGTCCGGGTCCCAGAATGAGAGACTCTGGCAAATCGTCTTCACTGACCATGGACCTCCAAAGATCGTCAGATGGAGCACTCGATTTACTTCTTCGAGATCCCCAGCTGACGTTATCATCGCCGGCTTGGATATCTAGTCCAGACGATCGGAGCTCTTCATTTTCCTCGTTGTTCGCGGTGAGCTCGGTATCTACATTGTGTATCAAAGTCTCGGTCTCGTTCACCGGCGATGATGGCGGACCACAAGATGGCGATGACTTGCTTGATAGCTCTGGGGTCCTCAGCGCGGCATGACGGTACGCGTCGATCGCCGAAGTCGACGAGTGCCGCGTTTCACCACTTATAGCCGATCGGAATGACTCTTCGCTGTTTTGTGCTTCTCCAGTCGGCGAGTTGGTCTTGGTGGAAGACGAATGAGATGTCAGATCTGAGAGATTTGCAAGCACCGTTGCATCGGAAAGCAATTCCAGCGAGATTTCTCTCATGTTGACAGTCCGCCTCCTGCCTGTCGCTGGTGTCGCATTTACGGTGATGTCCAATTTGTCCAGATCAACAACGCCGACTGTCAACCTCAGCGTGAGAGGAATGCGATCGATCGAGTCGCCAGGAACATCGGTATTAATATTGATGTGCACGTTTTGGATGTTCACCTTGACCCTATCCATCACGCCCTGTAGAATGCCAACGATGAATGCTGGCACCCCGTATCCGGTCCCAACACCGACCTCACTGCCCTCACTACCCTCACTGGCAAACGATTCTTCCATGCCGCTGGCATTTGCAGCCAACATCGCCGCGAGCTCTTCTCGCTCGTGCGAAGGCTCTTGCTTCAGGAAAGATTGGGCAATTTCCTCTGTAGTGGGTATCCGTATACCATCTTCTGGTCCCGGGAGGCCGTCGGGATCGTACGGCGGCGGCGAGTGTAATCTCCGTTGGGTCTTTCGATGCTGTGGTACACGTGCACTTGTTCGCGATCGACTTGTGCGCGATTCCGGCGGTGCTGGTCTCGCTTCATCCTCTGTCAAGCGTGCGACCAGTTCTACCCCTTCGATTTCAACGACGATACTTGATTTGTGTAGATCGGTAGGTAACGTCAAGCGTAGCAAGAGTATGCGAGCAGTCTCCAAACGTAGAGATGGAGGAAGCTGAACCAACTCAGTGATAYGCGGGATATTCAAGCGCACATTTTTGAGCTCCACGACGCTCCTCTGTCCAACCTTGAGGTCGAGGTTATCCAGGTCAATCGTCTTCTCGTCCAGCAGCCCCGTCGATAGCAGGACATAACGCAGCCCATAGCGGACCAGCTTTCTCTCCCACCACTTCATGCTACGGGTGTGTGGCGACGCTGGGAGCGGAAGTGCGAGGATCGTTGTGGTGGATTTCCGCAATCTGCAAGTTTTGGCGGAACGTTTGCGATCCTTTCGGCATTTTAGGGTGTCAGATCATGGCTGTGACGCTTGTGAAGAAGCGATGGATTTTGTACCGGATACTCAGGTGTGTCTAGAAGGGGATGCTGCCGCCGAAGGGTGGAGGGTGTGATACGTATGRGCACGTGAACTCAGCTGCTGGTGCTGYTGATGTCGGCCGTCATTCTGCCTATCGATAAGCGCGCACAGATCATCATGTGCACGTGGCTTTCTAAGGTTTGGCTTGCGCCAAAGCAGCACCCTGGTTGCCATCTCGATTCTGAATTGATGACAACTTTCATTAAAATTGCTTCGGCGACAAGGATTGGACAGAGGTGCCGCGCCATTCGTTTGAACATACCTTGAAGGACTGTAGATGTACCAGTAAGAGAAATGTACAACTACATTGGTTGCATGACGCTCAGCGCGTTAAATATAAATACAACTCTCTACGGACCGTGTGGTTTTTGGCCACAGAGCTAGGTGTTTGTCAGCATTGTTGTCGACTGTGTCAAGTCTTCGTCACAAAGGCGACTCAAGGGGGGACGGGAGGTTGGACGACTACTTTATCACTCGTCCTTTGTTACCATCGATGAAGTCTTTCGTATAGCTCAGCACAAGAGCTTGAGCCCATCTCTTCGATGACAGCAATTGCTAGGTTGAAATCTCTGTATTCCCAATGGTCAAGCATGATAAGAGCAACTCTTCGACAACTACCTCCTCGAGTCACCGGCATGCAGACCAACCACGTTTCTTAGACTGCCGAAACTCAAAACGTCGCCCATCCTCTCCCTACCCGACATGAGCATGACAATCCTGTCAACTCCACAACCCCATCCGCCCGTTGGAGGTAGACCCCACTCAAGAGTCCTCAAGTAGTTCTCATCAAGGGGCATGGCCTCCTGGTCTCCYCCGTCCCGGTCTTTCACTTGCCCCAAGAATTTCCTGCGCTGCTCGAACGGAGAGTTCTCTTCCTCGTACATATTCGCATATTCTCTGCCATCGATAAAGAGCTCAGCCCGAGCTGCGACTACTTGAGACGTCCGCGGGCAGAGGAAGTGCTTTGAGAGTGGAGACATGCAGGCTGGATGGTGGATTATAAAGGTTGGCGAATCATTCGATTGCGGTTCGAGATAATGTGCAGACAGGGCGTCCAACAGACGAGATAACGTGGGGTTGCTTGGGACGGCGAGATTTTTCTCCTGGAAAATGGCTAGTACAAGTTCGAGAGCTTCCGCGGATTGTAGATCCGGCAGCCTTTGGTTGAGAGCTTTCTCCAGGCCTGGGAGAAATTCAATCCTGTCAAACGTCCCTTCTAGACTCTGCTTTGGTGCCGGGACGCGCTCATTGTGCGCTCGCCAGTCACTGAACCTGCGGGCAAAGTCGCAAAACAGTTTCTGAGTTTCGGACATGAGGTCCTCGAGTGTGGCCCACGCTCGATAGAACTCACAGATGGTGAACTCCGGGTTGTGGGTCAGGTCCACACCTTCATTGCGAAAGGCAGGTCCGATCTCGTAGACGCGCTCCAGTCCACCAACAGCTAGTCTCTTGAGCCAAAGTTCAGGCGCAATGCGAAGACAAATAWCTTGCCCCGCAAGCTCTGTAGCTTCGGTCGTGAAGGGACGAGCCGCTGCACCGCCCGCGCTGGCACTCAAGATTGGAGTGGTGACTTTGATGAACTGTCGTTCTTGAAAGAAGTCGTGCAAAACTGCTTCGACATGGTGCCGACTTTCAAGCGCAAGGATGGTCTCTGGGTTGACCAGCATGTCGACGTGGCGTGAGCGCGCTCGAACCTCTGGATCTTCCAGCACGTCTGGGATCTGATGTAGGGATGGTGATAACAATGTCGGAATCTCCTTGGCTAGAACGGAGAACTGACCGCGCTCGGTGACGTGAGCATATCCTTTAACTGAGTACGAGTCACCTTTGCGAGCAATCTTGCTGAAAGCTTTGAATTCCTCGAGGCTCACGCTGTCATCGTCGTCCAATATTTTGCCGAATTGACACACAATCTGAGTCGTCTTAGTGTGCTGAAAACGGTTATCTGATGTGCTGTCATTGCAATGCGCAGTGTCTGGACCAGTGTGCTGCAAATCAAGAAAGACAAGCTTCGACCCAGCGGTTCGGACAGAGCGAACCCTGCCTGTGACCAGTCAGCAGTCTCTCTGCTCTCGTACGAAGCCCTTCACGATACCCATGATTGTATATATGTGCAGTTTGTCCGTCTCTCCAGGCCGTAGACCTGCGCCAGACTTGGAGTGCAGCTCGGAATGGTCACCATCAGACAGTCTGGGGTAGCACTCCGACAAGGGTTTGTTGACTTCTAGMTGGGCTACTCTCTTCTCATAGTCATGGGTCACGTCTCTACTCTTCCGCTCTACGTGAAGTGATGAGTGCGATGCAAAAGCTCGCGTGGCAGATGCAGTCGTGGGCGAACATGAGGTGCGTTTGAAGCTGGTGAAGAGATGCGGACGCAGACGGCGAGTGAAAATTGCATTAGACATTATCTACTGCGACATCTGTTAGCTTGGTGCACTGATGACTGCGCATTGATGAGTAGTTTGCGAGAAGATGCAGTGTCAGTTATTGGCATTCTTATCACCGGAGACGGATCGAAATCCATCTCCTAATATGCAGCGGTTCTAAGGCTATGAGTGTATCATCATGTAAGGAGGGGCAGGATGGGTTAGGAAGAGGTAGTAGCTTACCTTTGACTTGCGATRTTGTTTGATTGCATCGGAGGTGATGACTGACGGAGCTAAAAACAGCTGTGGAAGAAAAGAATTGGCAACCTCCGCACGTCCCTTCTGATTGACTGTCATTGATTGTCATTGATACACATTAGGCTCATGGTCAATTGATTACCATCAAATGGCAAGCACCCCGGACTTTGACCCAAAGAACGGTACGGGCGGTATTCTCCGAGCAGGAGTCGGAGCATTCATCAAGGCGCAGCACCGCGAGACAAGAATAAACATGTCCGGTTTGATGACCAAGGCTTGAGTTGAGGCTGACGATACGACGCGGTTTGATTAATGTCTTGAGCATTGATGATAATAAATCTCATGACGTGAGAAGGGGACTTCACTTCTGCATTCCGCTCGATTCCGTCCTTGATCTTGGACACACGCGTCTCGCATTCGACTATTTGAGACTCGAGTCGCTCGACCCCTGGAGCCAGCCAACGCACGAAGCGATCGCCGCGTAAGAGCTGGGCCCTGCTTCGCTAAGGCACAGTACCTCGAAGTTACTTTCTGCCAGGCATCCTGCCCTTACAGCTGAACAGGACTTGACAGTGCGCCGGCCACAGATCACACAGCCATACACCCCGATCCAACCAACGAAGATCGACGCCAAGTATCATCGCTCGTTAAGCGCGCCCGCTCGCTCAGGTCGCTCGCAACCTACTCGACTCGAAACCGACACCGAGCACACGCCACATCGCACAACCTCACCACTTCTCCTCCTCCTCTCTGCTTCTTTGGCCGCTCCAGCGCGGCCTCTTCCTACCGCCACAACGTCGCAATTCAAGTCCAAGCACCACGCGCGGACTTCGCTTCTCGGCGGGGATCCAATCTACCAACCACTCTCCGGCAACTCGTCCTTTTCCAGCCAGCGCCCGCCCATTTACAATCCGCACGGCGACCAAGCAGCCTACGAAGCGGGCGGGTACCATGATCGTCAGGGCTTGCCGACTGCCCAACTAGCAACCGATAGTATTGGACGACCGCGACATCGAAGAATGTACACTCCGAATACGAAATGGACATGGGCTTTCATGCTCATTGTCCTGGTGCAGGCGCTGGTGAGCCTGGCAATCGAGGCATATGTGTTTGGCGAGTTCCAGGCGAGCTTAGGGCCTGATCCAGAGGGACGCCGCGGCGACGACGATGAGAATGGCACWTCACCAACAACCACAATCCCAACGTATCTGGCGCTGTTCATTTTCGGGTTCATCTACGAGCTAATTCTGGCATGGGATGCACTGCGCTTGAAAAACACCATTCAGGTCATTGGAATCTGCATATACAACCTGGGCATGCTTATATACTCTTCCGTACAGATGGACCAGGTTGATACAGCCATTCAAGATCTGCTTGGAGAGGGCCAGATTGAGCGCGACACCTGGAGTCAGCTGCGGCCTTTCCTCATCGCCGCACCGTGCGTGATTGCCTTGGGGACCGTTCTGTTGGGATGGGTGGCTTACAAGCTCTACAATGAGTTCGCCTGGACCATTTACAAGCACATCTCGGCAGACTTGAGATTAAAGCGGCGCTACCTCACATATCAGGTCAGTAATGTTATCCCGACTTCGCTCTTTGCCCTCCACTCACACATGAAACTCGTAGATTTACATCGCCCTTCTCAAGTTCGACTTCTTCTTCTTCCTTGGCTTCACCATACAATTCGTGGTCGTCGTCGTCAGCCACGACGGGCYCGAGTTCTACCTCACCATTGCGGCTATCCCCGTCACGATCATCATTCTCTTCCTCGCAGCCTACATATGTCGAGCCGAGTCGAAGGTGGGACAGGCTGGAATCATTGTCATCTACTTCGCAGCCATGGCCTATTTCAGCTTCAAACTCGTCAGAATGTACACTCCTCCCAGGATGAAGGACTACGCAGCAGCGAGAAGTTCCCTCACGACCTTCGCCGTTCTGACATTGCTCCTGCTCGTGGTAACAATTGCAGCCGCAGTCATGTGCATGATCAACTTTGGCAAAGGATTGAAACCTCATGTGCAGCGAAGAAAGGTGGTCAATTCCGGCGAGGTGCCTGGGTACGAGGGAGGTGTCGCCGGGAAATGGGCGGACGGCGCACAGGGCTTCAATGGGCCTCCGCATCCACTTGGACAGGTTCCGCAGAGAATGACTATCGACTGAGGTGTGGTGGTTACCAATCTGTAGACAGTTGTCACTTTGTGTACATCCGAACGCACCAAACGATCCAGCTTTTTGGCGTTCCATTGGATGTCCCCTACCTTTTTGGTGTCAATATCGAGGAGACTGGTCCGGCGAAGAAGGGTTATACCTTAGTGTTTGAATTGAGCGAGATTCCTTTTCCCCGCCCGGAATATACCTACGCACGCTGAGACCGTGCGGCGTGGCTGTGGCTATGGGGGCGAGGAAACCATCCAACGAATTAATGAAAGCGTTGATTTTATGTACATACACTCCATGTGTAACTACGCCTTTACCGTCCTTTACATCGAGTAGCAGAACGTCGAGTTCCCTGATGAGCAACTATCTAGGGATGCTTGCGAACAGGTGGCTGTGATCACAGAAATGACATTTCTAGCGGAGGACCAAATGCGATTTGCAGCGATACCTCTTTGGCCGTGATATTATTGACGTGGAGAGAATGGCGTTCCGATAGAAGGCAGTATAGGCGTCGCCTTCCCCTTCACACGAGTCTAGTAAAGGGTTAGGGTTGGGGTAGAAGACAACCCGCTTATTTCACTTCAAGGCCAGCGGCTACCGCCATATAATGACATGGCCTTGGACCCGGTATAATGGTGCGTATAAACTCCATCGCCAAGCTGCGGCCAAAGACTGTGGTTGAGTCTGCGATGGTTCGCAGGATGATATGTGAACACGCTCTCAGGTCCAACCAAACATGGTCCCACATCCATGGCCTAACGACCATGGCGCCATGTAGCGTCGTACCACATTTGAACTATTCACCCATCCGATTCGATCCGTTCCTTGCAGACGGTACGCGACCAACCTTGACCATTATTGATTGAGTCCAACTGGAGATTCATTTGACTCACGACCAATGGAGAGACAATACGGTTGGTAAGTTGCTGTACATTGGAAGCTGAAATACTAGGTGGATGTTATCGKGCCCCTTTATACCGGCGGCATGGAGCTAGGATGAAAGCTCTCGTCCACTGCCCAGTCTCAGTAGGTATCAAACCCAATTCTCTTGCTTCCACGCTTTTGAGCGAACCCCAGTGGTCCCTGGTGAACGCTGAAGGCATCCATTGCACTCAATCGCCAGAGCCGGATTGAACCGCCATTGCATTTGGCAGCCGCAATGCGTATGCAGAAAGAGCATAGCTGATGACAACGGCGCAACTCAAGAGATCGTTTAACGGCTCTTCTTGGGAGTACCGTCGGCAGGAGAGACAGCGTCGCCCATGCGCTGGTATTCCCTGTTCAGTCCCTCGGTCTGCTTCTTGAGGGTTTCGATATCCTGATCACGCTTCTTGAGTTCCTTCTTGAGCTGGCTGATCTCTCCAAGCTCACCAGCCTCCCCAAGGCCGGAACTGGTCTTGCCGGTATCCTTGCCCATAAGGTTCTTGACCTTCTCCTCGAGGCGAAGAGTATCGAGAATCATGACATATGTGCGGTTGAGGATGAGCGAGAGGAACAGTGTGAAGCCACAGAGGTACATGTTGCGCTGCGRGTAGAATTTGCGGGCCTGGACTTCCATGCGCTCAGTACCGGCGACAGCACTGCGTCTAGCACGTTAGCCATGTTGATGACGCGACGTTGTTCACAAAGACCTACCCAGCGGCTCCACCCTGATACTTGGCCTGTGCAAGCTCGACCTGCACGCGGTAGACTCGGTTCACGCTGTCGACGAAGAGAATGAGGATGAAGATGAAGGTGATCTTCAAACCGTATTGCAGCTTCGCGATGATTGGGTTCTCGCTGATGAACGTGAAGAGCTTGCGTTTGATGGTGAATGGCAGGGGGATGATGAGTGACATGAAGACTGTCATCTCAAACATGAGCAGGGCGAAGACCTGTAACCATTGTCGTCAGCGTGGGGCTCAAAACCAACAAGACAGAGCCGAGAGAGAGACCGGTCCGTAAATGAGCGACATCTTGAAGCGGATGATAGGAACAGTGTTTGGTGTAAAGTGAAGTGCGGTGAATTGGAAGAGAAGAGATGAGATGAGGGACAAGTGGGTCGGAATGAATAGGTACTCACGAGACTGTAGTACAACGTCATGGCTGATCGGTGCTGGGTTGTAAGTAGTTGTTGGGCAGGTGGTTGGCTTCTGTGGGAAGTAGCAGGTCTTTGCTGCTGGTAGGAGAGTTGGAGAAAGAGGTTGAGGTCTCGATGGCGAGAGATATGTTTGCCTGGTGAGCAAGTAGTGTACGTAGCAATCAAGAATGGGTTGAAAGGTTCCTGCCTCGAAAACACGTCATCGCGTGCGTGGTGTCCGAGCGCGGAAAATCCGCAAAATTGCTCTCTCGCCCTCCGCACGCACCAATCATCAATCAAATCCCTCTCAAAATGGATTCCAATCCATTGAACCCCGACGTGAAGCTGGAGAAGAATTCAGCTGCCAAATCCGCAGTACAWCCACAGAGCGAGATCTTGCCAGGTGATTCTGCAGTGACAAAGGCCGAGCAAGTTGAGCGACATGGTGCGGTGGACGAGCAACACGAATTCGACGATTCGCCTAGGAAGCGCGTGAAGCTTGAGGATGACCGTACTTCTGCTCCAAGAACGGCCGCGGCAACTGAAGCGGGATCTGAGGACAGCCAGTCCCGCCGAAAAGGTGTCACGCCAATCAAGCCGGAGTTCCTGGTGGATGTAAAGGCCAATGCTGAGAACAGGCATAATTTTGACGACGACGACGCCGAAGCCGGTGGAAAAGGGAGATCCAAGGACGAGGGCACAGCTGGACGGGGAGGCAAAAAGACCAAAGGTGGACAGAACAAGGGCAGACAGTTTGGCAGCAGTAGGGATGAGATCCAGCTCTGTCGGTCGAGAGAGTCTGCAAACGAGTTCAGCCCTGCGCCATGTCCATTTGCGCCCAAATGCAACAAGGAGCACGACCTTCGAAAATACCTCAGGGAAGGCAAACGAGAAGATTTGCAGACCTTCAAAGGAGCCTGTCCCATCTTTGACGTCAAAGGCAAGTGCTCAGCTGGATGGCGGTGCAGATTTGCAGGTGCTCACTCCAAGGAGATCGAGCATGACGATGGAAGGAAGGAGCTCGTTCAGATTGTCAAGGAGGTCAGTGGTGGCAATGCCGATCAAGCAGATGCCACCCAGAATTGGAAAGATGACGAGGATGCGACTGGCGTTGTCAACATTGTCTCAAGCGAAGCCAAGATCAATCTTCGCAAGAAGAAGCACCCCCTTCCGAGAGCTGATAAGTATACACAGTGGTTGAACGACAGGGAGAAGGATTATCAGCGGAACACATCCTACTCGAATGGTGACGACGTGGAACATGAGAACAGGGCTGACTACTTCGAGCCTCCACTTCGGCCTTCTGAAAAGCGACGGATTTACTATGGTCCAGAGACGCCTGTTCTTGCACCTCTGACCACGCAGGGCAATCTTCCTTTCAGACGACTTTGCGTCGAACTCGGCTGTGAGCTCACCTGGTCTGAGATGGCGATGRGCCTCCCTCTCTTGCAGGGAGAGAAGCAAGAATGGGCATTGATGAAAGCTCACGAGTCTGAGATGGCAGCGCCTGCATACTACCCGAAGAATATCGTCCATGGGTACGATAACAGCAAGGACATTCGCTTTGGCGCTCAAATCGCGGCCAACAAGCCCTGGCTCGCACTGAAGACGGCAGAGGTGTTGAGCGACCTGTGTCCTCGCCTTCGTGCAATCGACCTCAATTGTGGCTGTCCCATAGACTTGGTGTGCAACCAGGGAGCCGGATCACAATTGCTCGATGCTCACGGCAAGCTTGAGAAGATGCTCAGGGGCATGAACGCGGTTTCGAAAGAGGTCCCCATCACAGTGAAGATCAGAACAGGAACCAAGGACAAGGTTCCAACAGCCGAGAAACTTTGCAAGCGCTTGATGCTCGGTGATCCCCAGGAGCCTGAGCTTGGACCAGCTGGTGTGGCAGCGATTACGCTTCATGGCAGATCGCGCCAGCAACGTTATACAAAGGACGCTAACTGGGAGTACATTGCCGAGTGTGCAGCTCTCGTCAAAAATCTGAGGAAGAATCGTGGTGATGTGACAGACACCATTCGCGAGCCCGACGCACGTGATCTGCCTGCAGCCAACGACGGTATGCCGTACTTTGTCGGCAACGGTGACATACTGTCTCATATCGACTATAACGACCACATCGATAACGCAGGAGTGGATGCCTGCATGATTGGTCGCGGTGCCTTGGTGAAACCCTGGCTGTTCGAGGAGATCTCCTCCAACCAATATCTTGACAAATCTGCAACAGAGCGTCTCACCTACATTGAGAAATTCGTTCGCAACGGATTGGAGTATTGGGGAAGTGACGAGATTGGCGTGGGGACTACGCGCCGCTTCCTCCTGGAATGGTTGAGCTTCAGCTGCAGATATGTTCCCATCGGATTGCTGGAGTACTTGCCGCCCAAGTTTGGCGACCGCCCACCAGCATATCGTGGTAGGAACGAGCTCGAGACATTGCTCAGTAGCGCCAACTACAAGGACTGGATCAAAATCAGGTAAGCTTGGAAAGAAGCACGAGTATCGATTTATACTGACTGTGTTACCAGTGAAATGTTTCTTGGTAAAGCTGCTCAAGGCTTCAACTTCCAGCCGAAGCACAAAAGCAACAGCTATGAGATTGAGGCCGAGGGATAAATCCCTCCTGCTTCGCTCATGGATTGCGCTTACCACGAGCGCTACTTTCGGATGCGGTGTCCCTATGGGAACATCAGTTCGAAATGGATGCTGTAAGTCTGACAACATCACCTCCTCAACAGTCTCGGTAGAGTCTCGCTGCATCGACGGCGACTTTACAACTGTGGGTACTGCGAACACGGTGAATGCGACTGCGGATACCTGCTAGGCTCACGTACACACATGTAGTGACGTAAGTCAAGTCCACATTCACGGTACATTTCCAATCCCACAGGAGTAGGACCCACAATCTTCAAAGTGATAGGGGACGGGCCGATGGCATTTATATGTTCTCTCCAATCGTATTGGCTGTCATCCTTGCTTGCATGTGGCGCTCTAGACCTCGCGTGCGATGTTGATGCGCGGTTGATCTTGTTACCGGTCCCGCAACTGTGCGTACATAATGAGGTCGGGAGATTTCGAAAGAATTGACCTGAAAGGCGCAGTATCGAAACCTCGGGCTGCAAGTAGACCATCGCGAATATAGGCATATCCGGTTCAACTTCACTACGCTTGCGGATCCGAGCAGTCAACGCCGTTTCGAGTMCGACGCAATACCACACTGAGTAAGTCGGCCAAGAGTCCTCGATGCAAGGGCTCCAAGTCGAAAGGTGACGTTGCGGGGACCACTCGACCCCAGGATGGGCTTGTCGTACGCAATGTACCTTGCATCATCCCTCTTGCGCAGTCATCGACCGTTTGTGTCTAGACATTCCCCTTCGCAGCATTACCCATTCTGCCATGCTCGCATCTGGCAGCTACGGACCGCAGTCCACCATCAACTGATCGGTAGCAGGGTGTAAAGGTATTTAGGCGCCAAATTGTTCTCGAACCTCCACATTTCCTCCCCCTAGCTCCTCGCGTGAGAGCTGATGTCAAGCGGGCCGGTTTCTGTTGCCCGAAGTTACGGCAGTAACTAGTCGCCGAGGGGCCGCAACTTACTCTTCGGCTCCGATATCGTCCTGCACATAAACGAGTCAAGTCACACAAGGTGGGTGGGTGGTGCCGCACTTTACCCAACAACACAGCGTTTGTTGCTCTGCCGCCCATGGGGCACACCGGCTTCTCCCAGGATCATTGCATCAATAGCTTACTTTGTGACGCGGAGGGCCCAATCCGAGATGACAACAATGTGCCGTGCGAGACCGCGATGGACTGTGTAATCTCGATTGTCAGGCAGAGGCGAGAATCGGAAGAGGCAGCAACGAACAGTTGTGGGAGTACCGTCATGGGCAAGGCAGCTTCTGGAGTGTGGTTCGAGTCAAGTTCTCGCAGAGAGGTCACTCTTGGGTTTGTGCCCGCGAGTTGTCGGACTGGGAACCCTCGAACGATGCCGCGTTCATGGCGACGAGGCACCCTGTGCCTTACACGTCAGCATTCAAGTATGCAGGAGCATCTAGAGGCGATGAACGTCTAGATCACGCTGCTGCACTATACAAGATGCTTTCTTAGATGTCTCGCAGATGAGACACAGAGCCTAGCAGGGGGCTCGCATGCTAACGCCAGCTTTGTCAAGATTTGATGAGCAACATCATGCTGCTCTCGGGGTCTTTGCAGCGCATCTCGTGTAAACACTGCTTTCTCGCTAGCCTTGAAGGGTACCAACAACCACTGATTCAACTCGTCAAGCTCTGATGGCCCCGAAAATTAGACGTGATGTTGGAAGTCATACCGCAAAACAGCCGGCCACAAAACGTGGTTTGTTGAACTCTGGAATAGAAGGCCACGCGAAGGTTGCACGAGGGTCGCCCGAGGACGTGCCCACAAGCTAGCGGTATGCCTAAATAGGAAGGGTGGCAGGCACCTCGCCCTTAGGTGATCATACCTGAGTTGAGGACATGCAGGACGTTCGACCTCGAGGAAGTCGTTGAGGTAGGAGTATACGGATACCGTTCAATCCCAGAGGCTGCATCGATGATCACAATCTTGAGGCGTTGATGATCCTTCCACGTTGTACTGGGATGTTTATGCTCGAAGTTATAGGATGGACGAAAGAGGGAGCATCAGGCGCGTCCCGAGACTCCAGCTAGCCATCTAGAGCTCGACGGTGCGAACCCTGCTGCGCGTCGGACAGCGACTCCCTGGCTCCAAGCCCGCCTTCGACGATGGAATAACAATCTCACAGGAGTTGCAAAGCCAGCGATGGATGTATGGGTGGAAGTCGCCGTGACGCATCACGTGGCTGCTTACGGACGCCAACAGCCATTCGCAGACCGGTCGCTACAGTCCTTGAGCTGAGAATCGACCTTGGTTGGGTGTTAGAATTGGCCGGTCGATCGATTACAGGTGACCTCATCCATGTGGGTACACACTGTTGGCGGCAAAGGACTGCCATCGGCGGCGGCACCACCTCTGTGAGACTGCGCTCTCAGGAACGCACGCCGCTGCGTCTGGGTAGTGGCAACGTTCTTCTAGAAATACCTCGTGGCAATGACTGGTTTAGGCTTTGGGCCACCCGTGGACAACATTGCTCTCACACACATATCTGGCAGACCCTGGAAGCTGGAAATCTCCCAGCAGCGCGGAAGGTGGAGCTCGAACAAACGGCCAGGATCAGTCCAGTGGACTAGCTGGTGGATTCACGCTTCTTCGTGTTTTCCAGAAGACCGTGACACGGTCAGAGCGCAGCCAAGCATCCGCCTCAAGGTGAGTTTAATTGGTACGAGCAATTGTCTGGTACACCTTCGGAGACACGGCCACCATCGGTCGCTTGAGAGGAACTAGCTGTTGGCATCGGCTCGGTTGACGAGATGTCTCATCATTACTCTTTTGGCGGCGGGCAGCATTGCTCGCCTGCGCAAGGGGTGCGGCAGAGAGTGTTGCTGGTCTTTGACGGGTCATAAACGCACAGTGGTGGCACCGGCGACGCACAGCGTGCATGGACAGGGCGGCAAAGCGTCTGGTAGGACCGCGGCGTTTGCATGCGAGTGCTGTGGCCGTTGCTCCCCGATCCCAGAGCCGGTCGGAACAGCAAGCGTAAGGTTGTTGGTGCACTTTTAAGAGTGTGACGGACCGCCCGCTGTCGTCTGGTTGTGGACCACCTCGCGCATTGGCCGGCAGGGATTCCCGGGTGGCAGCGTGCAGGTTAGAGTTCGCCATAGTCATCGATCGACTCGAGTAATAAAGTGAGCGGTAGAAGTATAAGGGCGACTTCGAGGGCTTCCGCGTGTTGGCCCCTCCATCCAGTCACTGTCAACCTACTACCATCACCGAGTCCAAGACATCGTCGCCCCACCTTCAATCTCTATATCTCACCACCGTGCGTCCGCGCTCGCGCGTTTCATCAAATCCAACCATTTGCCTTTACGTACATAGAGGCACTAGGTAGGAACCTTTGACTCCACTAAAATCTGCCGCGGTGCCATCGGCTTCTTCAACAAATCAGTCATCAAGCTGGCGACCCTTTCTCATACTCCTTCGCCGCTCCTCAGTCCTTCAGGACATTCTCCCAGCGAAGATAGCATCAGCACCCCGGGCTCCACCGGATGCTCCCAGCTTTTCTACGACTGGCATAAAAAGGCCGCGGGCCAAAGTCATACGAGCATACGCGACGACGAATTCTCTTCCAACGATTTGCTATTTCCGGACGACGACAACGACGAAGAACTCCCGCTGTTCAGTGCTGCTTCGCCGGTATCGCCTCGCCTCGCCACCATGCCGAGCACCGTATCTCCAATCGATATTGCCACTAGCCGGCCTTCTTCAAGCTCGCCACGCCAGTCCAACCTGACAACTCAACTCCTGCAACCGCAATCCGCTCAGCACCGCGATATGCCAGCTCCCGAGGAAATTCCTCAGCGTGGCCGCCAGGAGTCGGTCGCCATGCTCGGTACCACGCCGTACGGAGCACGAAATATTCCAATGGCCGCTGGCCAGCGACGCGAGAGCCACCAAATGGGAGGCAGCATGATGCAGGGTGGAACTTCATGGGGATCCTTCCGAATGGTACGTTGTTTGAGACTTTGCGTTGACGACTTTTGAGCAGAATCTAACACACTCATGCAGGGAAGTTTCATCCGCGATGATATTCTCATGGCCGGCACATCTCCCTACCAATTCCAGTCGCCGTCGTTTCACTCGTCTTCGTATCTGCCTAAAATGGAGGCGACGTACATGAAGGATTACGTCTGCTGCGACATTCATCTCGATTCAATGCACGAGCTGTTACAGCATTATGAAGAGGCGCACGCCGCGCAGCCCACCCAGACGATGGGTCGGACGCCCAAAGACCAGCAATATCCAACCAGCAGAGCAGTGAATGCGAGCAGCACAGCCGAAGCGGTGCAGCAGCAAGCTCAAGCACACCAAGGGGTTATGCATCCGCACGCGCAAATGCATCAATCGCAGCAGATGCCTCCAACTGCCCAGTCGCCACTTTTCGGGGGCCAAAGCCATGATCAAATGGGTACCTTTGATACATTGGACGATATGGACATGGACGACAGCATGTCCAACAATCACATGCCACAACCACAGGGATCTCAGTTCCAGCCTCAACCACAATTCGGCCGCCAGCAGCCTCGAGGACCGTCAGTCAATGTCAACCTAGCGAATGCTTTCCAGGGCCAAGGCCTCAACGCTGCCACTCCCACGACGCCACATGCTAGCCAGCAAGGCATGGGCTTCCAACACAATCCTACCGTTTCGTCGGTGAACACACCTTCGTTGACAACACAAACTGCATCCCAGCAGACCGCCACTCCAGATCCGTCTCAACCAAACACTCCAGGCGAGCTTGACCCCGACTTCCTCGCCCAGATGGGCGGCCTTAGCAATGTGGATTACAACCAACTACTAGCACAAGGAAATCTTGACTTCAATGGCCTCGGCGGCATTGGCAACATGAACAATGGCGGATCCGCTACAATTGATAACCCCGAAAAGCGTCTACTGAGCAAGCAAGGGTACGGCAACAAGGGGTTCCCCACCAACCCAGCCTTTGCAAACAGCAATAGCGAGCTCGCAAAAAGAGTGCGCGAGAATCAGTTGCTCAACGGCCTCGCTGGTGTCGGTGGATTTGTTRGCGAAGAGATCAAGCCATTCAAGTGCCCGGTGATAGGCTGCGAGAAGGCCTACAAGAACCAAAATGGCCTGAAATACCACAAGCAGCACGGCCACCAGAATCAGCAGCTCAAGGAGAACCCTGACGGTACTTTCTCCATCGTTGACCCGACGACTTCAATACCATATCCCGGGACGGTCGGCATGGAGAAAGAAAAGCCATACCGATGCGAAGTCTGCGGAAAACGCTACAAGAACCTCAATGGTCTCAAATATCATCGACAACACAGCCCGCCTTGCAACCCAGAGCTCAAACTCAACAACGGAACGCTATCTGGCGTGCCAAACAACCTGCAGAACTTGAACGCCAATGTGGCCGGTGCAGGTCTAGTTGGCATGGCTGAAGGCATGGGCTATTAGTGAGCCGATCGTTACACTTCGGCTGCGGAGCGAGGTCAAACGCGCCACTCTGGAGGATCACCCGCTCACCGCCTTCACTTCGCTCACATACATTACATTACCGATTCGCCTGGAGCCGAGAATACAGCTGCACCTCAGCTTGCTCTGGGAAAGCCGGGAATTACAGAATCACACCGCCTWTCGTCACACATGTTTATACACTGGTATCATTTTACTTAGCGAGGCGTTCAGGAGCTGTTGGGATGATTCTTTCTCCCCGGATTGTTATGCGTTTGGGAGAAGATACCCGGCTTCAAAAGGCCGCCGACTGAGATACCCTTACATTGCTTGTTGTTATTGTTTATCACCTGGGAGTGTCGAACTGCCCCGGTTTTGGTTGGGAACTATTGGCACCGCACATCGGCTGCCCAAGCGAGGACGCTGTTCTTAAAAAATGCACAAAGAAAATAGACGGCAGGAATATCTGCCCAAAAAAGTCATGATGGGATCGCGTGCGGATCGGCGTTGTGGGTGGAGGCATTGTCGTTTAGTGAGATAGACGGAAATCGCGACACTTGAGAACTCACCCCATCTGCCCAAGTCCCAAGTTAGTTCTCCCGGCCATACTCTAGAGCGGTTGACTTTCTGGCAGCCGCGGCCAAGAGTGCAGATGTACACGGGAACGATGGATTTCATTGACGAGATGATCTGGGTAGCTCTCGCTCCATTGTTTTGAAACGTTCCTGATGATGTGCTCACTGGCATTCTCGTACCTTAGCTGACCTCCCCTGAAGAGACCCCGAAACAGAACATTGTATAAGCGGCACATCTCGTACCTCAGGACCCTTATTGTGCCCTGACCTTGAAATATCAGTCCAACCAAGGTAGATGCGAAGATCATTACAGGACATGGCTATCATTCCGCGATCATTCCGCCGCTTACAAGCAGGCTAGAAGTTGCAGCAATACTTCTACGAGCCCTTTCCCACTCGGCAGCCTCTCAATCGGGTGCCTAACGGGACAAATCTCGGTATGGCTCGGTCGGCTCTGGACGAGAATCAACAACTGATGGAACCGTCACATCGTAACGCGGCCGTAACACGGGCAAGATGGGCCAAGTTGAAGCGCGAGGTGATGCCGAAACCTCGTGACTGATGTAGTTACGGATCTGCGTCCAACTTGCCTCGTCTCGCAGTCACCGAGATGCGTTGTTGACCGGCATTGAGCACTTGGTTTTCGATGCTGTTTGAGGGTCGGGGACTGGGCAGCGATCATGAATGCCTCACGCCATGATATTTACATGTGGTCCAGGACAGGCACCACCGATGCCCATGCGGAGTCATCAAAGGTGAGTCCCGTCTGCGTACTCAGGCTCGATGCTTTAATGAATGAAATCTTGTCTTATGGATTTTTGAATGTCAGCAAAGCCGCCCCTCCCGACGATAGACGCCGAGCGTACAGCTCTAGTTCTTTTCGGCGCCAGGGTGCTTGCTTGTAATGCAGAGACGTGAGAAAGCCGGCGAGGTTTCATTCCCAAGTGTGCTCTTTAGGGAAGGACCTGAAAGATGGCAAATGACCATCCGGGCTGGCCTTTGCTTCGGCGACTTTACTAGGGCACTTCCAACGGGCTTCCTCTCCGACGAGAGAGCGTGAAATGATGCCGCTCTCAAAGGTAGGCGTGGCTTTTTGGGATTGGATCCAGTGAGACAAAGGAAGTTTAGGAACATGACTTGGAAGATACCTACTAGCCGAGATGTCTGGCGCGGTTCGAAGAGAACTCACTTAGAGCAACATAGCTGGTTCTGTGGACGCTGCCGCCTGCAATTCATGTACAATAACGTGAATCAGATAACGCATCACGAGGTGAAACTCACCAATGTTTAGTAGATCAATGTGCTTTGGAACTGGCCTCGTGTTCCAATCTTGAAGTTTTCTCGACGGCATTCGAACAGACTCACCTCACAAGGTAGGCGGGGGTGAAAGTGAAGTAGAACATTCGCATTGATGGATGCGCCTCCGTATGATGCAGCTAATGACCCCTGAAGTGAACTGCGCCGTACTCCGTGCTAAAGTAGTGAGCCAACTGTGCCTACTAAATCCATGCCGCTACCGCATAACACACATGTCAAAGCATGTGACAGGCTATGCATACGCCCCGCCAAAGCACAAAAGCCAAAGCATGAAGTCGTGATCTGTCGTGCTTTCATAGATGATGTGGCTGGCAAAGTACTACGCTGCCGCACGGGAGGTCTGCGAGGCGACCACGGCTGTATTCTCGGCCGGAGCGTATCTTTGCTGCTGTGCAAACAATCTGGCGGCCAGCTCCGAGTCCCCACGCTCCGATTGCTCCTTGAGGTACTGTTCGACCTCTGGGGAGAGACTCTGGCCTCGTTCCCAGGCGGCAATGATGCTCTGAGTGATCTCCTGCTCGTCGCGCCTGTGGCTGATAGTTTCTGTGATCTCGCGAGCCTCATCTTGGGGCTCGCCATCTGTGAGTCCCGAGTCGCTCTCGTGATGGTCCTCTGTCATTTGCTCGGCGTCTTCGTCGATTCGCGGTTGATGTTCAACGACAATCGAGATGTCGGTCTTCCGGGTAATGCTATGTCTCCGGAGGTGGTCCTCTCCCCGGTCCCTTTTGTCGACGAACGGCCCAATCTCATCACCCGTGGTATCGACAACCTTGACGCCCTCATCCTTTTCGTAACGCTCTCTCGCCCATTTTGTTCCTTCCCAGCAGCAAAAATCCTGAATCTCCCCATATGTCAGGCCCAGTGCGTCAAAGGCATCGAAGAGGCGTTTGTGATGTTTGAAACGGCCGAGCCGCATGCGGTGGGGAGGATGGCAGTAATTGAGACCCGGATAGCGAGCCTGGCAATATTTAGCATGCTGCAATCAGTTGCAGGGTACATTAATCTTACCTCCGCACTATTTAGGTCGCCGTAGAACGTGGCTACTTCAATGCGTACTTCAGGCACCAGATTACGAGCCAGGTGCGCCGAGAATGAGGGCGGGTCGTTTGGTGATGGGTGAGGGAATAGGTGGTTGTGCAGCAGGTGCGCTATGGGAGTCTGCCGACGCATTTTGGTAGAGGTAGTGAGGGCTGGAGGATTCCGAGAGGTTGCTGTATGTGTCTGTCCCGTCGCAGGCGAACAAAACACGGGAGCAGGAGGCGTGAGGTTGATTCTCCTGAGTCTGTTTGCGGAGGTGGTGCGATATTTCCAGGGGAGAGCAGGTGGTCGTACACGTGGCCAGGAATGGAAGGGGAATCAAAGGAAGGAGAAAGGGAGGGAAAGGAAGGCGCTGGAAACAGAGCAAACCTCACCGGGAATTGAGATTAATTCTAGGTTGAACCGGAGCGATGATGAACCGGGGTCACAGGCGTGGGCGTCGAGCGCCATGTGCATTGAGCAGACTACTCACACCTGCTTGGGTTTACTTTGCGTTCGGAACATCCTAAATTGCCCTTCGTGCCACCTCTCAAAAGCCTATTGTGTGCGCCGATCCACACCACAGGCGGCTACCAAAGACACGACGAGTAACACGGGGAAAGTTGTGGTCCCGAGTTTCTGCCAGCCACGAAAGCAGCAAGCAGCAGCTGTGCAGCGGCGTGCCGACCACAAGATGGCGGCTCAGCGGCTGCATCACTGCAGCATGTGCTGTACACCGCGATCGTTCGCCTCTGATGATCGGGTCCGTCGCCGCCACAGGCGACGCACCACATAGTCATACCAAAGGCTCGATCCGTTGTGTTGCAGCAGGAGTGAAGACGCGCTTTTTCTCGCTCCGACGGCTCGCCCAGACCGACTGACTCGACACCAGGGAAACGACACAGCCTCATCAGAAGCGTAGATCGTAGATCGATGTTCCCGATTTGGCACATACGAATGCAAGCAAAAAAGACCTGCCTGTTAGCAGACCAGCGCATGATCGTAGAGTAAGGCGCGCAGTCATATGGAGTCAGGTTGAATCTGTTGTGATGCATGGTAGGTGGTGTAGCGAGAAGTGCTCTTGCTCCGAGCACATGCGGTCGCGGTTGTAGCCGCGATGCCGATGGTGGATCCACGGTCCAGGCGGCGGGCTGGAAAGATTTTTAAATGACTTCACTCGTTGGTTTTGTCAAGAGCCGCGATCAGGTGAGATCTCGTCTCCATCAAAAGCGTCCCGCCTGTCAGATCGCTGCTTCTTCACGAAGCGTGATGCATGGGCATTAATAGCTCGTCAGGTTGTTCCAGACAGCTTACTTCACACAACCTGCCGAAGCTGCATTCGGAGCAATTTCGACAACATGCCGAAGTGCATTGCGAGTTCTGACCTGGCCGGGGAGGATACGTACCTGTACGCGCTGGCAAGATGCTCCGACAGCACGTTTGCGACAACAGGGTCCGATGACGCTCTGCGCCTGTTTGATGGACAGACTCTGAAACCCATTCAAACCGTCAACAGCTGCCATGATGGAGTTGCTTGTCTCRCAGCCGCGGGAAATTCTCACTTTGTGACCGGTGGTCGCGACGGTTTGGTTAGATGTTGGGACACCCGAGCCAGAAGGGTATCCGAAATGGCAGATCCCCGCTCCAATGGCATTTCCTCTCTTGCCTGTATCGATTCCTACATTGCCGCGGGAACTGAAAGCACAAAGGAAGGTTTGGGCGATGTCAGTGTCCTTTTGTACGACACACGGAACCCGTCAATGCCATTGCGGCAGTACAACGAATCACACACGGACACCATCACCCAGCTTGCCTTCCATCCGGCCCAGCCAAATTTGCTTCTGTCTGGTAGCACCGATGGTCTCATCTCAATTTTCAACGTGGATCTGGAGGACGAGGAGGATGCGCTGCAACAGGTCCTGAACCCACGATCGGCCGTCCACTGCGCCGGTTTCCTCGCACAGGACTTAGTCTACTCTCTCTCCACAGATGAGCAGTATTCAATTCACACTCTGGCCAAGACCGCATTAGAGGACGAACAACTGCCGCCGCCCATCGAGTTCGGTGATGTGCGGGAACCGCTGCAGTGCATGTACGTGATCAATGTGTTGGTGCAGCCCGATGGGCCACCGCTCATGGCGTACGGACATACGGAGAGGCAGACACTGTCAATCTCGTCTATGGGCTCGCCGGGAGCGTGGCAGTTTGGGCCAAAGGTTGACCTCATTGGAGCACATGGAGACGATGTAGTGCGGGATCTCCTGATACATCATCAACGTGCACTCACATGTGGAGAAGACGGCAAGGTCAAGCTGTGGAAGCTTGACGCTTGATGCTTGAACGATGTAAGTAGGCATGCGTATTCACATCACTCTCATATCTCACTTCGCCATGTTGTCAGATGTGTACCTTTGATTTGACCATCCAGACCTTTCCCCTTCGCTCTGCAACCATGCAACATCACTTTATTGACGTCAGAAGACATTTGTCTGATTGAAATACTCACCATATTCAATGCTCGCACCCATCAATCATATATTCACACCTCACATGGCACAGTTGATCGTCAAACTCAACACATCCAGCATGAATACTGTAGCATCTACCGAGACATCAGCGGGTCGCCGTTCTGCTCGGATCATCTCCCAAGGCGGACCCAAAGCWTGGCCTGCCGACACATTCGGGCCCGAATCATCCGAAAGAGATTCACCAAGTAGTGAAGAGGTCACACAAGACGAGAATTGGGCATCTGACGAAGAAGACTTGCATGAGAACGAGGTCATAGTAGACAGCGATATTCCCCGGCCTAGCAAGACGCAGTTGGTGCATTCTAAGTCAACCATTTCAGATCGACGCTGACATGGCTCAGGTCCTACGGCGGAGGCCTCAAGAAGCATGGCCAAAGGAGTGATGAGTACCGGTCGGGACCGAAGAGACCGCATCAGCAGAGTGATCTGTAAGTGTCGCATTCTGAACTATGAAATAATAGACACTCACATCAAAAAGGGATCCGAACCACGATCAGAAGCGGCGCTGTACCACCGGCGAACACGAGGACGAGCACGATGAAGAGCCGAGACCACTGGGCCGTGATGCTATAAGACCCAAGCTTGAACTGCCCACCTCTTATCCCACGACCGCAAGCGGGCAGTCACATGTACTCGCATCGGACGAGCGAAAAGTGAAACTTGTCATCAAGAGCATTGATCAGATCTCGATGAATTTCTATGTGAGGCTATCCAGTATCGACAAGATTGGAAGTCTAAGTCGACAGCTCCAAGTACCAATGGACGCTTCGATGCAACAGTTCGAGTGCTCCACCCTTTCCGAAGAGAATGCCATCTTCCAGGCTATTGGGTACCTCGAGGGCGTTCATCTTACACCATTGTCGTCGGAGACAAATGCCAGTGGAATGCTGAAGCAACTGTACGAAAGAATCAAGCTTTTCGACCTCAGCCAGGAGTTGAACATCGTCGTCCTTGAGATCGCAGTTTTAGAGGGCCTTTTTGATCACCTTGTTCTCGATGCAGGAACCTTTGCTCAGTTCGCCAGAGCTTGCTACGATCGTAAAGCTGGGCACAGGATTGAAAGGGATTCAACCCTAGGGCAGCTCGTGAAAGCCGGACTTTCCCGCCTCATGCCAGAACTGATTGCTTCTGGAATTGCGGATGATCTAAGGAAAGCGAGAGGCCCCCTGGCGGAAGAATTGATGGATGTCGTGTGGAAACGACACATCAAGTTGGAGCAGCAGAGGGTTGCCCGCGTGATAGCTGACCGGGACGTCCTCGAGTGACGGCCCCTGGAAGCTCTCGTGTGGTTGATACGGCATGTGGAAATGCTAAAAGTTAGTTCCGTGCATAGCTTGATTCGATGTCTTTTTCATAGATGAGATAGCCGAGGGCTGATGTGGGTGTATGGTGTGAGGCTCTCGGGAGGAATGCAATTCACAACACTTCTTATGTCAGACAGCTTGACCTCGGCATAACTTTGTGCAATCAGATTGAACTCGACATTGGTAGCTACAATCCAGTCCTATCCAGTCCTACCTACACATGTGCGATCTGCCCTCTAGCTTTCCCGCTCATTGAATTCACGAACCTGGGTCGTTTCCACCCAGAAATCACTAAACATGACAGCCACCAAAGAAGAATCTCCAGACGTAAAAGCCATCAAAGCTCTCATCCAAGCCTTCTTTGACAGCATCAACAGCGCAGACACCAAAGCCCTTCTGTCCCACTTCTTCACTTCTGCAAACCTTACCATAATTCGTCAAGACCCTTCGCTGCCGCCTCCAGCAGATTCATCAGCTTTGACTCCCTCGTCGACAGCTCACAATGCGCCCCAGTTGWCCGCGGAGGAACAAGAGCCAAAGCTTACCATCGTGATGAGAACAACGATTGAGAAATTTGTAAAGCTCATTGAAGATGGGCAGAAAAGGAGAAAAGGGAGGCCAGGCCCAGAGCTTCACGAATCGCCTGACTTGGTATGCCATCCCAATTAATTGCTCACGCAACGTGCTAACTCGCAATGTTTCTGCTATCAGGAGGCAACTCATGTGAAGCAGGATGGTCTGTTTGCTTGTGCGTGGAGTCCATTCAGGGTCACTTTCGATGGCGTCTTGCATCATTATGGAACAATGGTATATACGCTTGGCAAAGATGAGGATGGGACGTGGAAGATCGAGGGCTTGACTCAGAACTACAGGCGTACGCCGGGGTGGGATGGCGATGAGCCGGGAATCATGTGAGCCAAGCATGTCCAAAAAGAGACGTAGGCCTGCAGAGCTCACAATTGGCCATGATACAGCTTGGGGAATGAGACGATTGACTGCGGTTTAGCATTTTGGTATTCTGCATTTTGACCAGCTTGATTTTTGCATCAGCTAGCTGGCTATCATCATTCCATAAGGTGTCCCCAAAGCGCCAGTCCAGACGGTGATTGACCGTCCATCGAAAATGTACACACAGACAAGACAGAGTATGTCTAGTAGAAGGTGTTGGGCCGGGTGGCGGCAAAGACCTGCTTGCCACGCTTTGGTGGTGCGCGGTGAGGAAGAGGGAACTTGAGGTCCTTGCTGGTGAGCTGCTTGATGTAGGGTCTGCGGATGTCGTCGGTCTTCTCAACCTCGACGACCTTGAGGATCTTTGAGAGAGTTAGCGTTGATGCAGGTGGAGCATTGGTTGTCTACACTCACGTGGATAGTTCGGAAGCGAGCGCGGTGACGCGAGGCCATGTCCTGGTAGAGCGACTCGACGGCGTCGGTGCGGGACATCTCACGGTACTCCTTGTACATGTTGTGGGTGCCGGAACGCGAGTCGTAACGGATCCAGATTCCAAAGTTCTTGACCTTGAGAGGGTGCTTCTCGTGGATCTATCCCGTAAATCAGCATCTCCCGYCCCACCTCCCCATCACCAGACATGTAGACACACCTTGTTCAGGCTGACGATCTCACCGTTGGCCTTCTTGATCTTGCGCAGCTTGGCGAGGAAGTACCAGAAGCGGGACTTGGCGACGACATCGTTGGGAGCAAAGATGCGCATGCGGTACAACTTTGGGGTCGGGTTGGCGTCAGAGGGCAGATGGCGCCCAATGACCTGGTATTCGACGAGACCTCTGCTCATTTTGGCGACCTGAAGACGTGCCGAGGGCTTATCAGCGAACGTGCTTCGAAGACGGGACGTGCAATGCGCAGTCGTCACTATGTCTTTTATCCAAAGATTTCAAGCGAAATTCCCTCCTCTTTCAACCCATGACAGTGGTTTACCGCGTGTCGCGCGGGCGGGGATGGCGGGTGGATACATACCTGTCTGAGTTCACACAGTTAGCAGACGGAGAGAGGGGGAGTGCGCATGTGTTGAAGACTTACTGATGCTGTCGGCGGTGGTTAGTACAAGGACGAGGTGTCGCGGAAGAGAACTGACGAACGTAGCGAATTAGAGATTGTTCGTCTTGGCGCCACTCTTGGCGAAGAACAGCTCAATGCAAGAGCACCAGCTCATTGGTGTCCCCCCACCTCACTTCACCCTTGGGCTTTGTCCACCACATCGACATCACAACAAGATGGAAGTGCTGTTCGATGACTTTGCCACGGCACACTCGGACCCATCTGGCCCCAATGGCTATTTGCTCGCGACAACCATTTCACCTGAAGCCCCACGTCACGATCCTGGACGATTGTACAACTTCCGCAATGGCATCAATCAGTTCAGCGTGCGCACCGACTTGCAATACAAGCTGCAATACAACCCGGGCTTGACGCTGGATAAAAACGAGGCCGCTGCGTGGCTCGATGTATTCGTGCAGCATCACAAGTTCGTCGGCTCGCTGCTCGCTGCCGAGGAGCTGCAGAATGTGGGCCGCACTCGGGAGGCCGACTGGGCGCGCGTATACGAGGAGTGGAAGGATGTAGTAAACGCCTTGTTCCGTGGCTATCAGAATGGTGCATTGGAAGCCTGGACTATTCCGTGTCTATACGTCGCTGGTCGCTACCTGCGCGTCTTCGCCATCAAGGCCGACGATGCAATAGCCAGCCAGCGCGAAAGCGGCATGGTGTTTGGAGGAATTCAAGAGGAAGATGCCTTCGACCCCAGCAGCAAAAACGAGAAACTTGAGGATGCCGCTCGTCAGATCAACCGCATCTTCGGCCTGTGTGTCGGTGACCGGTAAGTCTGCTGCTCCTTGCTCCATTACGATTTGCTTTCATCGCATGCATCACCTACTGCTGCTCTTTGGCACTGGCTCATGGTAAGTGCAGTAATCCGCTCGAAGACTCCCGGAAATGGGCCCTCTATTATGTCGCGACTTTACTCTTCAAGACACATTTCAAACTCAACCACATCTCGCTGTCAAAAAACATCCTGCGATCGCTCAGCGCCTCGAGTACAGACATGCCGCCTCTGTCTGCTTTCCCAAGAAGCCATCAGGTGCCGTTCATGTACTACTGCGGCGTCATCCATTTCCTCGACGAGGACTACAGCGCCGCTGAGCAGCATTTAACGTCTGCGTACAATATGTGTCACGTCAATGCGCGGAAAAACATCCAGCTGATCTTGACGTATTTGATCCCAACTAAATTACTGACATCACACTCACTTCCTTCATCAGCATTACTGGCGCAGTACCCATCACTCTCGCGTTTATTCCGGCCATTCTGTGATGCAATTCGAAAAGCTGACCTGGCGGCCTTCAATGCTSCACTAGAAGATGGAGAGGCTGAATTCGTCAAGCGGCGTATCTATTTGACATTGGAACGGGGTCGTGACGTGATTCTACGCAACATTTTTCGCAAGGTCTTCATCGCCGGCGGGTTCGAAGCGCCGAAAGAGGGCGACACTGCGCCGCCCGCGAGGCGTACCAGAATTTCTATAGATGAGTTCGCGGCGGCTCTCCAGCTTGCGGGTGCAGAAGTCAGTGATGGTGATGACGGAGTAGATTTTGATGAGGTGGAATGTTTGATTGCGAATGCAATCTACAAGGTCTGTCATGCCTCTTTGCAGCCGATGACGGGGCAATGCTGGACATCCAATGCTGACTATGATCGCAGAATCTCATGAAAGGCTACATCGCTCGCGAGCGTCGGATCATTGTACTTAGCAAAGCTGGCGCGTTTCCTGGGACAGGAGTGTGAGGCATCACGGTGCGTGGAAAGACATACCACGACCTACAATATTGGCGTATCTCGAGTGCGGACCACAACTCTTGCACCACATATGCAACCCCGGACCATGCGGCCAGGCCTTGGCCCTGCACTGCCAGCGCGGCATACTCGAACGCCACATCGAATGTGGCTGGCCGCCTGCGAAGGTGACTCACGAGCTGAACCGTCTTTCAGAGTTTAGCAAAGCGCCATCACAGGATGCACTGGGCCAAAGATTGGTGTCAGATAGAGCAGAAGTATGAAAGCTTGTTTCATGATCCAATCCGATCAGTATCAAGTCTACTTGACAAAAGCACGATAATCTGTGCTCTCATTGTGGCCAATCCATCCCGTTTCCATCATCCTTCGAAAACCCCCTTCGAGCATGATAGCTCTGTGCCTGCAATTTGACCCTTTTGTCGATCTCGCACAATCTACTGATACAACGACCCACTTGCCCTGTGCGCCTACAACGCCATGCCAGAATAGTACAGAAAAGAAGAAACATTGGATGTTGTACAAAGAAGGGTATCGCGATTGAGGTGCAGTGACGATAGAACCCAAGGAAWAGAAGGTAGCGCTTCGGTGTCCGCCGATTTACGTGCGTGGCGAGCGGGAGGCAGCAATGTCATCCTAAATTCTGTCAGCTGATGTATCTCGAACACGGCCATAGCGGCATGACTCACGAGATGGTTGACCACTACAGTAGGATGTCAGTCAATCTTAAATGAACAGCTGGTGGTGATGATACTTACTCGCCACAAACAGGTCGAAGAACAAGGGTGTGCCTCCTGCTTCCATTTCCATCTGCATAGTCCCGCTTCGCTTGAATGTACTTCGACTCCGTATGATAAGAGCGAGATAATGAGCTCTYAGCTTCGAGTCCGATGCCGGGGTGTTGGCATAAGCGTAACGTGCTGAGCTGAGTATCRTGCTGCACTGAACACCCGATTGCAAGCCTTGCTTCTTCAAAGCCAACCGTTGGAGTTCAGGTAGCTGGTAGCGGTGGCCGGAGCAGTAGATGACAGTGTCTTTCAGTACGGCAACGCCGCTGGGGGTGCAGATGGTGCTTTCATTCATGCCCTTATGCGTACCCTCTGCATGTTCAAGGTACCAGCTGTTACGCTTCTTGTCGAAGTTGACTTTCGGCGTATAGTCCCCCTTGTAAAGGTATTCTAAGATGGCTGAGAAGACTTCGGGATTCTCGGAGGGGAGGCTGAAGCGTTTACCCGACGACTCGAAGAATTGGGCGCGACAGGCTTCAGCAAAGTATGGTGACTTGAGGAGCACCTCTTCGTGACAGGCGAAGAGCCTTGATTCGGGACCGACGGCTATCGTGACGATGGCTGAGGTAAGGTTGCTAACAAGTGTGAGTGATGGCGGATATAACATGCAACACGATGGCGATGAACTTACGGGGATGTTGGCGAACTTCCCGCTCTCGTCGGAGACGACTGTAACGAGGAAGCCTGTATTGGTTGCTGGGTGCTGATACGTCTGGTAGAAGGATGCTCTTTGAACGACTTCTGTCTCTTGCTGCTCATCGACTTTCCCGCTCTATATGAGAAACTGTCCCGATGCGACTTATTTGCGCTACGGCTAGTTGTGAACATTTCGGCTTCTTTGCGGACTGATGTCGGAATGCTGAGACGATAGGGTGCTGGTAGGGAAGAAGGGCAGCAATTCTTGTGAGAGGAGACGGAGGAGCAAGAGATACTTATACTCCACCACGCAGGCAGCAGGAGCGCGGGCCAGACAACGGCGAAACGCACCCATGCAAGATCAACTTACTCTCTCCGGTGCAGAGTTGCCCTGGCAGTCGGGGCATACGGACAGAAACTCCAAGCAGAATGATAAGCCATTTAGCAGAAGTGGAATCGGACATGATTGGTAAATCGCATGCAAGCACTTTACGCGATCCAATAAGCGACGCGCGCGAGAGTAACGCGATATCACGGGACCCGGCGAGTCACCTCAAACAGCGGCCTCCTGAAGCGATCCGCGGCAGCTGATGCAAGGAAAGCGTTGGCCGCGTTTCACGGACCGGGAATGTCCCCTCTCGCTAGACTTGAAGAAGCATAAGGATCGGGGTCGCTGAACGCCATCTCGCGGCCTAAGAACTTTCCGACTCATTGGATTTCGCCACTCTGCGGGTGCCGGCCGATGATCCAGAATTTCTTGTGATGAACACAGCCGTCGATGGATTGTATGCCGTCGTGTAAAAGCCTGGTTTGCAGGCAGAGATGTCGGCGTTGCTATGTGCGTCGAGGTTGTACGAAGGCACGAGGGACTTCGTCGGCTTGCTTACCTTTCATGATCTGCAGTCTAAAATACGACGCTAACGCTCGCAGATGCAGGAACGAGGAACAGAGATCCCTGCCGTGTAAAGCAGATGGTATGGTGTTCAAAAGATCTGACGCAAACTGGAATATCTATTGGAGTCGTCAATTCATCATCATCGTCATCAAAATGCCGCCTTTCGCTCGGAAAGACATCAAGCACCTTCCCACCCTCCCACGCCTTCCCAGCATCTGAACATCATTCTTGCAGAGTCGCGGGCTGTGGTCCCCGCAACATTGCCTCTTCGTCATGCCCAATGTGGACCTTTTCAACGAGGAGCTTTGATCCGTAACAACTTCTCTGAGTTCTTATAAGCAATCATCTCTAGTTCTTCCTGCGTCACGAGACCGCTTTGCTCGAGTTCTTCAATCCATTTCAGTCCATTTTCATTCTGTTGGAAAGGATAATCGACACTGTAGAGGATGTGTTCAATTTTCGTATTGCCCAGGATGCATCTCAAAGGATCCAATGACCACACACCAGAGGTCGTAATCCAGATATTCTCATCCCAAACCTGCTTTAACTTGCGATGCTGCTCCCCCCAACGAACGCTGAGATTCGAGACGCGCTCGAGCATAAATGGAAGCATCTCTCCAAAGTGACCAATGATGATCTTGAGCCGAGGGAATTTGTCAAAACAGCCAGAGGCATATAGGCGAAGGATATGCAAGCCAGTATCAGCATGCCATCCCCATCCAGATGCGCCTAGACTACGACCAGCACCTGGCGTGAAATTTCCGGTGTACTGCGAAGTCATATCCTCCGCGGGCCATGTCGGATGAAGGTAGATTGGAACGTCGAGCTCCTCTGCCTTTTGCCACATGCAATCATATTCACTGCCGTCGTAATACTGCCCGTCGACATGGTTATCGATTAAAGCGCCGACAAACCCAAGCTCCTTAACTGCTCTTTCGAGTTCCTTTGCTGATGCATTGGGGTCCGCTACTGGCAGTGCTGCGAAGCCAGCGAATCGTTCTCTGTTTTTGGATATCGAGGCCGCCATCTGGTCGTTGCCCTCTCGACACTGCTTCGGACTGGGCCCTCCTGGAGCACACGCGTGGGAAACCACTTGCATCGCAACTTTGCCCTTGTCCATCTCGCTTAGACGTAAGTCTCCAATGTCCTCAAGCATGCTTTTCACGGCCGGGATTGCTCTGAATTGCTCCTGATACTGTTCATCGAACGCATCTAGCACTGCGGATGAGAGGAAGTGCTCCTCAAGCGCAATTAGCGGAGGAACCATGCTGAGAGAGGGGGTTGGAAAGGATAGTTGCCCCGGAAAGGCCAAGTACAATGTCAAGGTGAAGTAGACGAGTGAATTATAATGGAAACGACCTCTCTGGTGCTCTATACACCTTTTGCTCAGAGATCCAGCGGCTCGGTGCCGAGCTGTGGATCCCATCGGGAAGAGTGGTTTGTGCTTCCCTGACCGCGGAACCCTTCATGCAGGCTCGTGGGAGACAAACTTAAGTCAACGCTGCAGCGGCATCATGCGCACGCAAGGTTGAGGCGCGTTGACCCACGCTGAACGGTTTTCGAGCTGATCGAGACAAGGGTGATTGATCGGTCCACGCCGAAAGAGGTTTAGCGACATTTTCTACACAATGACGGGAGCTTCGTCAAAGGTTGCCCGAGGTTGTTATCATCTCCTCTCTCGCGTTCCTCCAATACGCTCACAAGCAAGAGATCAATATCCTCTCAGTCTGCACGTGTAGGTCGATTGAAGCTTACCGTACTTGCACTTTCACTGTCTTCACCTTCAACACCCCAGCTCTCATTCAGACTCTCACATCACAAAATGGCTTCGAAGTACATCCAACCCGCAGAGGTACAGGAGCTACCCATTCCGAAGCAATATTCAGACCTGGGATTCACACAGATTCGCGTCACCAACGTGCCCGAGTCGTCGAAAGAGGTCACTCCAGTCCAACTATTGACCCTCTACCGACCGAACAAGGTCAATGCCTTTACACCAACCATGATGGCGGAGCTCGAGACCGCATATACTCTCTTCGACATTGACGATCGTGTGAAGTGCATTGTCCAGACAGGTTCAGGCAAGATGTTCTGTATGTTTGGCCGCATCAATACACAGTTGGAAGCCCACTGCGAGTGCTGACTTCTCTTTCCCTCCCTTGCAGGCGCAGGTGCAGACCTCGAGACCGGCTTCGTAGGCGGAGAAGAGTCAAACCGAGACCACCGTGATGGTGGTGGCAGAGTCACCATGGCAATCAATCGATGCCGAAAGCCAACTATTGCCGCACTAAACGGAAGCGCTGTAGGTGTGGGCATTACCATGACACTGCCCATGAACATTCGTATCGCATATCAGGATGCCAAAATTGGATTTGTGTTTGCACGGAGAGGACTGGTCATGGAAGCAGCTTCATCTTTCTTCTTGCCTCGTTTGATCGGGTATGTGGTTGAGCTGATGCCCAAGAGAACCCTGCTGACCCGTTCCTACACCTAGCTACTCCAAAGCACTTCACCTTTGCACTACTGGGGCTACGTACCCTGCAAAGCACAGTCTGTACAGCGATCTCTTCACCGAACTACTCCCCACACCTGACGCTGTGCTCCCACGTGCACTCGAGCTCGCCGATGAGATTGTCAAGAATTGCAGTGGTATTTCCATCCATCTCTGCAAGGAGATGATGTACAGAAACCCAAATACCCCCGAGGGAGCACATTTACTGGACAGCAAGTTGGTGTACGAGATGTTCAGCAGCAAGGACAATAAGGAGGGAGTACAGGCRTTCTTGCAAAAGAGACAGGTCAACTTCCAAGGCACAATGCAGAACGATGCACCTCAGGCATGGCCCTGGTGGCATTCAGAAAGTACGGCGAACCGTCCGGTTGGTCAAGGGTACAAGTTCAAGGCAAAGATGTAATGCGGCAAAGGCATCACTTTTGAATAAATGGGTATCATAAGTTGCAGTACAAGCAGTTTCCCACTCAACTTCGACGCATTCGAGCTGTTTCGGCTAATGCAGGCATATTTCCTGCGTTAGTTTGAAGTTTCGCACATCAACCTATACGCCTTGCACAGCCCCGAGATCGCAAACCGCGTAATGTCGAGGATGCGAATGTCATGGTCTTGTGGATAAGAGACAGAGGCCGGGCTGCAACAGCGTTCAAGCTGTGCCGTTTGGCGACGAAGGCAGACCGGAACGCTCAGATGGCAGCGCCTTGTCACTGGTTTGTTGCTCTGCTATCAGGAACGCTGGAGTTTGGATCGCCTGCCGACCTCCATCATTCGGCTCCCCACCGTTCTCCATGCTGATTCCATCGAAAATGCGGGCCATGAACCCATCGACTGTTTTAGCACGTTGCTTGGCAGATCTTGGCTTCCTCTGTCGTCTTCGAGTTTGGTCCTTAGGTGGTTCTTGGTGCGAAGACGTGAACGACACGCGCGTCGAGTCCCCCATCTGTTCACTGGCTGCGGCGTCTTGCATCTGTTGGTCGTCGCCCGTCGGACTGCCATTCGATGCACGCTCTTCAACTGACCGTCTCGGGCGAGACCCCAAAATCTCCTCTCGCCGCTTTCTGTCTCTCTTACCCCTACCCCGAATTGCGGGTCTGATCGACCGCTGCTGCTTATGCTGCTCCTTGAACCATTCGAGGCCTCGCGCGCCATCGCCCACGTGCGCTTCGTAGTGTGGTCTCTGATTCTGTGAGATTGCATCCTGGCCTGGAGGCAATGAGTGGGATCGGTTCTTTCGTCTGGCGGCTCGATCTGCGCGGCTCTCGGCAGGAATCTTAGCAGGCTGATAGCCAGGTGTAGTCATACACTGGACCTTTGCTATCTCGACGTCGTCAATCATTAGTCCCCCAACGTACTCCTGGACTCGGTGCTCCACAAAGCGCTTATGAGGCATTCCCCTCGCCATTCCAGTTACTACGATGAAATTTGGCGGTGTTGCCAGCCTTGCGGACCTGTCTTGCACTAATGTGCGAAGCATCGTATGCGCGTGATCCCTGCATCCTCGAGTGAGCAGCGCGAGCTCGGCTAGGCGCACAACCAGTCCGAGTGAGTATGGTGTTCTCGTGCGGAGCTCTGCGGGTATGCATTCCGCTGGAGGGCAATTCCAAGCTTGGAGCAGGATGGTGAATGATGAGCGGTAGATATTGGTGATTGTTTGAGCTAATCCAAGTTGCCGTCTTGGCAACTCGGGCAGATTGGCCCAGTCGTTGACATCTTGTGCGGAGATTGTCTCAGCCTGCAGGTACTGCTGTGTCTGAGAGACGTCCGGTGGCTCGAACTGCTGCTCATTGACGAGCTCCGTCAGTTCCGTTTCCATCTCGTCATTCATGTTGGGTTCATTTGGCGTCCGCAAGCCGTTTGCCTCGGCAGATGGACCGTCGACATCGAGCTCCATAATCTCATCGTTGATGTTTGTCATCAAGTATCGAGTATGTGGTAGGAGTTCGTGGGGATGATGAAGCAAGTGAGCGGGCCGATGCTAAGCGCGATTTAGAGTTCTTCATGTGATTCGCCGATCATACCTTATTTTCCTGATGCAACTTCACTTCATAAGAATTTAGATGAGATGTGAGATAAGAACGAACTGACTTCATGTGCACTTGCCTCGTGAGAGATAAAGAACCCTTTTGACTTCGATGTATCTACTCCGTACATATGGAAAGGCCGTAAGGTAATGTATGAATGCTACGCCTGGGGTATCATCCAAAAGTAAAACGCCAGCGCTGATGCAATATAGAGATCCCCATCATTCACTCAGCACATTCTTGAGAGCGTCTGCATCTAGACCACTCATTATAGGTGGATGCTGAATCCTGATCTCGGGAGGGAATCCACATATTGGCCCCATTTGGTTGATTCCAGGCGGCCGATGCTTCGGCTTTTTTGGCGTGGCGTGTAGGTCTTCAGACTTACCCGTGCTTCCCGAGGCCACACTGGCGGTACGATTGAGCTTCGGTGGTACAGTCGCAACGGCCCCGCTGACCGTTGGGGTCGGAGAAGCTCCCCATCGCCCAAACACCCAGCCACCAACTTTGCCCCCGATGCCCTGCTTTCCGCTTGGTAATCTTTGAGCTGGAGGTGCCATGTCGCTAAGAAGACTGTGCCCACTGTTCAGAGACCGTGACAGCACCGCTGGCCGCGATGCGTGCGCGGTAGCATCGCTGAGCACAGCCTGAGGAGTAAAAGAGCGTGCGCCGTATGGCGTCAAGAGTTGTGACGGTCGAGACCGCAAAGTATGAATGTCCATGCCAGAGAATGAAACAATTGACTCATGGGAAGTGGCGCGCCGTAGCTTGCGGTGCTCGAAAGCGTTTGCCAGCTCGTCCGCAAGCGGAGAGGTAGTGTTCGAATCGTGACCGCGAGATGGTGTGCTAGCGTCCTCCCAGGCGAGCTCATCCTCTTCGGGAATTGCCACAGCGGAGATCTGCTGTTGTTCGATGGCTCGCAAATCCTCGGTGCTGATGTCGAGGATCGAACCAAGCGAAGGGCGGTTTGGATGGGACGAGGATGCGCGTGGCGCAAGGAATGAGCTTGTTGAAGATCTTTTCGAAACTGAAGGATCTAGGGATGGCGAGTCAGGGTCTTCCGTGTCTGGTGTTGTGGGACGCGATGAATCTTGGCCAGCATCACTGAACACACGATCGAACATGGACGACGACCGGTTGGTGGAGTGTGGTGAGCTAGGGCCCGATGACATCTGCATGGACCGGTATGATTGGCCTGACTGTACAGACCAGCGTTGATTTGAGGGAGTAATGTCTGGTAAGCTTGCGGCCGTATGAGAGAGTATGGCTGCCGTGCTTGAAGGCGTTCCGGGAGAAAAGTAGGAGCGTGGTGTACTCGTGCCCGACGAAGGCGTGAACTGCCCGGATGTGAGAGAGCCATAGCGCTTCTTTTTCGGACGCCTCAGGGTGCCACCAGATTTTGGAGTGGAAGGAGAGTGGTAATGGTGATGGACGTGAAGCTCCTGAGATGTTGCCCTACGCATCTCTTCCTTGAGATGCGGTCGCCGAGCGGTGGGAGTGGCTTCTGGGACATCTGTAGAGTCCGCCTCGATTGGCTGGTGAACCGAGAGTTGAGTGCGGAGATGCTCTACTTCCTCGTTTGAGGTATGTAACATATCTCGCAGCTCGACGATCCCCATCTGCAGATTCGCATTGTCTTGCAAGATGTCCTTCACAAAGTGCGAAACAACGTTGACCTGGCCGGGTTCGTGAGACACCTTTTTTACACCCGCCGCTCCCTTCAGCCTCCCAGCCGCAGAATCCAGTTCTCTCTCGACAGCATGACGCCGCTCCATACGTCCAAGTACTTCCACATGTCGCTCCTTCTCCTCCTTGGCCTCACGCTCAATACGTTCGATCTGTTCCTGAAGACTGGAGAGCGTCCGCTCGGCCTGCTGCCAACGACGCAGAGCAGATTTCTCCGCACCTTCCTTCTCAACGATCGTCGCTTGCCACGATGCTTGTTCACGCTCGAAGTCTGCCAGTTGCTGCTCCAGATGCTCTGTGCGTGCTGCCAGACTGGCCAGCTTGTGCAGCTCCTGTTGGGTGGAGCGGAGAGTGGCCTGCAGGTTGGTGACTTGGGTGTCTGACTCGGCCACGGCGCTGTTCAGGGTTTCGAGCTGATCCAGAAGACCACGGTTCTCTTGAATCGCGGACGCATTCTGCTGCTCCAGCTCTCTTTTCTCTGACTCCAGTGTCTCTATGTACACGGTCATCTCCTTCCGTTCCTTCTCCGAGTCCGCAATGTACGCCTCGTGGCGGACCAGCAGCGCCTGCAGAGAGAACGTCAGCGTCGACATGCCTGAGGTCGGAGAGTGCATCGGTGAACGTGGGTGCGGCGACAGCATCGTATGTATGGGCGATGGATGATCCATCACGCGCCACGCACAGTTCAACAGCGTGCACGGTTATCAGTGCAGCAGCGTCCACTGCTGAGAACTGCCAACAGCCGTGCTCCACAGCAACAGCGTTCTGCCAACTGTCGCAACGCTTTCGTCTGGCTGATGGTGGGAATATCGAACGTACCTTTCCTAGAGTCGCGGCAGTGCACACATCCCGCTCCAAGCCCTCCAATACGCTCGTAGTGTGTTGCAGATAGGCGCACGATGCGTTACCACAGCAGCAGGTTGCCGTCCGCTGTGCTACTGGAATGTTGGGTCTGCCGCTTGCATACTCGGCGACAAAGGTATGCGCCCAGGATTCATYGTCGTCCATAGCGSCTTCGCCGTTGCCCAGTGTCGTGTCCGAGTCCAGAGGATGTATTGACGTTCATTTCACAACGACTGGTGCGTGCGTGAAAGAAACGGGAACATGGTGCCAGGAACACAGGGGAGACAACTTTATCAGGTGGTGTTGTTGTGATGTTTGCGACGTACGAGTACCGGCGCGGCGATCGGCCCTGTCCAGCCACTTCCAACTTCATTCACTAGCTCATCATCTCTACCACATGATCATGCCATGCTTATGCGCCTTGCTCTGCTTATTAGATGCACGCTTGGGYGGTGTGGTAGGCTCACAGTCGCGCACGAGTGTCTTGACATCAGTCATGGACTCATCATGCAGCTCCCCAGACCACGCCACCGCTCGCTGAGGATGTCAGCAGGGAACAAGCCTGAATGGCGTCAGGCCAGGGACAGGAACCGTCTTTCCTGAGTCCTGACAGTGGTTCGGAGTCCCCAATTCCGTCCCTGTTACCCACCGCTGTCGATAACGAAATTCTGATGAGCGATGCCTACAAGCAGAACGAATGTGGTGAAATGGTCTGAATTGGGAAGTCGACGATGCGAATGGCGTTCCCGCGCAATCTTGCGAGATCTATCGACGAGGGTCCTACATCGTCAGTAGGCGTTTAGCGACATGAGAGGCCGTTGATTTGGACATTTCAGCATTCGTAAGAGGCAATTTGTCGTGTGATGTAGACGAATTGCATATCAATAAGATTGTACGCTCTGGTTCACGCCGTTCACCACGCCTGCATCAGAAAGCTTCGCACCTTGAGCGGTTCGGCAACAGCGGTGTTGACATGAATGATAGATGTAAGGTGGTAGAATACACAAAGACAAATGACATTTGATGAAGCTTATTCGACCCTGAGATGTAAAGGCGTCGGGCGTCGGTCTCGTTCACATGCAATATTCTATTTATTTACAGGTCGTGTCAAGCGTAAAACTCCATGTCCCTGCCGGCGGGCTATGCCATTCCCTGCGTGCTGTGTCACCGCGCAATGCCGCTATGCAAATCAAATAGGTATCGTAATCTCATTCATGCCTTCTCCATCCGCCTTCGATCTGCTCTCTTGGGTAATGTCCAGGGCACTGCGCAGACAACCTTGGCTTCGCGTTAGCATTCGCTCCCAAGTCGCCTTCTCATCAACACCTACCTCGCCTTCGCTGTACGCCCAGAAGTATACAATGCATCCGATCAGATAGTAAATGGCCGGATTGGTCGCCTGATAGATCAAGACGCTCGACAAACTGGCCAGCGGTAGCCACATCAGCCGCACTTCGATACTCCGCTGGATCGAGGTTCCGGCCAAGTACTTCAGTGGCCATTCGTATGCGAGTGTCAAAATCCCAATGACAAGATTGATGGTTTGTAGTATGGGCACAGGTTTAACAGCGCCATCGAAGTTCTTGGTAAGCCAGTCAAAGAAGAATTTAGGCCAGAAGAATCCTTCCAGTGCTGCAGCTAWCTGGTCTACGAGTGGATTATCAGTCTTGCAACCCCTCAACCTGCTTTTTGATACTCACATGCCGCTGCTGTCAAGCAGATCAAGCGAGCCCAGTGGTTCTTAATCAGCTTCCCCATTGTGCGCAAACGCCCCAGTCCTTGAGCAGCACGCAGCAGAGGTTGTGCTTCCGGCTACCGTCGACAAGGTGTATCTACCATTGTCAAGGGAAGCAGTCAGTCGTATATGTGCCCAAGAGAAAGTAGGTGAGTACGATCGAGGTTTGTACGTTGTAGGGTGGTAGGGAACCAGATGTCAGTCCCATGGGCCAGACCTGAGTGAGATGTTTGAATATCGAGCATGGGGACTCGCTAGATGTGTTAAAAGTCAGAAAGCAGCACCTGGCCAAGAGAGTGCCAAACGCCACCAAAGACGAGAGATGGAGGCTACGCGGAACCGTCTTTGCAATGGCTTGACCATCACGCCGGCGTCGCCAAAACTGGCGCTGCACATGCTGCGTGGAAGATGCGGTGGGCAAAGTGCTTGCATGCTAACATGCGTTACGCGCCGAGGGAGCAACGAATGAAGTCGTCGAAAGAGCTAACCTGGATGCACGGCATGTGTGAAATGGCTGGATTGAATAACGATTGGCTGCGGTAACTGATGTCCACTCGCGAGTCTATTTCGAGTCGCATCGTGCCTAAACACGCCGTCTTGACGTCGGACTGCATGAAAGTTGTTGCGAAGGTACTCTGGACTTCAACGAAGAAACAGGACGTCAAATCCATCCAATTGAGAAGGTCGTATGCACTGGAACCTGCAATGTTGTGGCACAGCAAGTGTACCGAAGTGTTCGTGGGATCGAGACGGTAGGAGATCCCGGTAGTGTCCGACCAATGGACGGCTCATTATGCGCCAAGACACACCTTAGCGCCGGCGGTTACAACGTTGGCAGCTGCTCGTCTTGCATGCCGGCACACATTCGTTTTGTGGAAGCACAGCCAGTTCATCAATTGGCGAAGCCTTTGCATTGGAACGGGCTTGCTCGAAGCGCTCCTGGCAGTCGTAGTCGCTGACTCGGCAAGGCGACCCTTCTGAGCCCTGGCGCCAGAGGCGCGTAACTTCGAAGGTTGGTGACAGACGCTTCTTTGTAATTTTTGCCTCTCGAAAGTCTTCAATTGCTGCACCTAAATCATCCTTGACTGTTGTTTTCTTGGACTCACACAGGACTCCYCAAGAGAAGCCAGAAGTGTTACGATTCAGCATGGATCGGTCGTAGGAAAACAACAAGCCTCAATACTGATCCGCCCACCCTGGAAAATATTCGAGACTTGCAACATCTTACAACATGGCAGTCAAAGGAAGGAAGTCATGGCTGGCCGCACAATTCACTGCGGGCAAAATTATGTTTTACAGCTTCTTCCATGGCCTGCATATATTCCTCTTCGTTCTAGGATGGTGGCTACAGGTTCGGGATCCAAGGCTAGCACCCCTCAATACACTTCAGTTCAGCGTATGGATGTCTCGAGGAGCTGGACTATGTCTAACAGTTGACGTTCTGCTGATCCTTCTTCCTATGTGCCGGAACGTTCTCAAAGTCATTCGGCCGAAGATAAAATGGCTGCCCTTGGACGAAAGCCAATGGTTCCACCGACAGGTCGCTTACAGCATGCTCCTTTGGACGATGGTACATACGGCTGCACACTACGTGAATTTCTTCAACGTAGAACGATCACAGATCAGGGCAGAGGCGGCCGTGCAAATCCATTACACCCAAGCCGGCGGGATTACCGGACATGTCATGCTACTTTGCATGCTGCTGATGTATACAACATCCCACGCCAAAATCCGTCAGCAAAGCTATGAGACGTTTTGGTATACGCACCACCTGTTTATCCCCTTTTTTCTGGCAATGTATACCCATGCTACAGGCTGCTTTGTTCGTGATAGCGTGGAGCCGCACTCTCCATTCGCCAAGCAGTATTGGACTCACTGTATTGGGTATAATGGCTGGCGGTGGGAACTCGTTGGAGGAGGACTCTATCTGTGCGAAAGAGTATGGCGGGAGATCAGGTCAAGACGAGAGACAGAGATCATCAAGGTCGTCAAGCACCCATTCGGTAGGTTGATTCCAGGCAGCAAGACCTATATGGGAAGCTAACAACTTCGCAGAGGCCGTCGAGATCCAGTTCCGGAAACCAAGCATGAAGTATAGAGCCGGACAATGGCTCTTTTTGAACGTGCCCTCGATCAGCGGGAACCAATGGCATCCATTCACCATCACCTCTTGTCCGTTTGATCCCTACATCAGCGTCCACGTAAGACAGGTGGGCGACTTCACCAGAGCGCTAGCGAACGCACTGGGCGCTGGTCCAGAGCAGCAGAAGTTGTACGACGAGCTAGACCCCTATGGCATGTTTGAGGTTGCATTGCAGAACGGACAGGAAATGCCCAAGCTCCGCATAGACGGCCCATATGGAGCGCCAGCGGAAGATGTGTTCGATAATGAGATATCCATTCTGATCGGTACCGGCATTGGCGTGACACCCTGGGCAGCCATCTTGAAGAACATCTGGCATATGCGTTTGCAGCCAAATCCACCACGAAGGCTTCGAAGAGTCGAGTTCATCTGGATCTGCAAGGACACAACCTCCTTTGAATGGTTCCAGGCGCTTCTGTCAAGTCTTGAAGCGCAGAGCATGAGCATGACTGGCGCTGGAAGCCAGACAGAGTTCTTACGCATCCACACCTATCTCACCCAGAAGATGGACGTAAATACCGCACAGAACATTGTTCTGAATTCCGTGGGCACAGAAAAGGACCCTCTGACAGAGTTGGCTAGCCGCACCAACTTTGGTCGGCCAGATTTCAATCGCTTGTTCGTTGGAATGCGAGAAGGCATTCTAAACCAGAGTTACATCGACGGGTTGGACAAACGCGGTCGAACGGACGTCGGAGTGTACTTCTGCGGTCCTAATGTGGCTGCGCGAGAGGTGAAGAGCGCGTGCAAGGAGGCCACTGCAAAGGATGTCAAGTTCAAGTTCTGGAAGGAGCATTTCTGAGCGGGAACAGGGATGATCAGAAGGCGTTTTGCGAAATACCAGGCTGGCAGCCCTTTTAGAGAAATGGGTATCATGAGTAGTACCATCCATATATGTACACTGAATCCAACGTAACGAATCTCATGCTTTCGCTCGTCCGGACTCCGCATTTTGTGTTGTACATGCACCGCTCCACAATTCGTCTCTTTTAAACGTGTTGGCTACTGTCATCATCCAGCGCACGCTGCAAGTTCACGCTTCGCTCTTGTCGCATCGTCTCGCCGTGCATCGATTATGCGCCAAACATGCCTCCGCCACCGCCTTGTCTCTGATTTGCCTCACCCTGCATCTTCTCGGAGACTTTGATGTTGACTTCGAAGAATTTGGACACGCAGCGGTCGAGGCAGACGGATTCGCCCTTGTTGAGGTCGCCTTCGCGGTAGTTGTTGGGGATGCATTTCTTCGTGCATGTGTCGACAAGTCTGGGTTCTCCATCGTCAGCCGTCTATAATATACTCGGGCTATCCTGACAGGCGCGCGCACTGGTTGAACATGTTGGAGACCATCTCGATCTCCGCCTCTGCTGCTGCGATCTTCTCCGCCGATGAAGGCTGAGGCCGTCCGCCACCAAAAAGAGAGAAAGACATTATGTGGAGAGTTTCGTTGGGCTGATCGATTGGTTGATTGTAAGAAAGAGTGCGATTGTGCTGGCAATGGCAATGGCCGTGTTGATGTCTCGTGCTTGCTTCTTGGTTGGAGATCGTCAGAGCTTGTCGGATCTCCAGTTCTAGCTCGAGATGCACTTCACATCCTTGTCTTTACTTTACTTTACTTCTTCTGCCTTTCCATCGACCATTACAGAGACGTTGTTGTATCACAACTCCTTCAACATGATCGGGAATGCGTCTGGATACCCTCACTCGAGCTATCTCGCCGCCGCCCACTCGAAGGGTGAGAACAACGGACGATGATGAGGATAAGCCAAGTATTGCTGCCATCGAAGCAGGAAAGGCCAGGATCGGAGATCACCTATCGTACTTTGTGACAAGACTCTCTGCTGTGGCACGTCCGAGTATAGATTGTCCGCGAATTGGTCTTCATGACTTCGAAGATCTGTACACGCGCAATCAGCATCAACATGGTAATCATTTCGTAGTGCACCAACACGATCATCCAATTGCTGGTGTACATTACGATCTGAGAATCCAATTCTCAGAGACCAGCACGATATCGTTCGCCATTCCGTATGGGTTAGTGGCGCTCTGCGTAGTAAGGGTAGGTATCTACGAAGTGCTGACTCTAGCGCAGTCTGCCTGGAAACCCGAACAGCATCCGTCCAAATCGAATCGGTATGTGACAGAGCGTCTTGATCTCTGGCACACATGCTGACTCCGATACCTGAATCTAGGTATAGAGACAAGAGTGCACAACCTTTGGAATAATTTGAYAGAATCAGCATCACATGCCACTGGCAGCCTGCTCATATGGGATACTGGAGAATATGAGGTACTACAACGTCCGGTAAAAAAGCAACCAAYAACCGATGATGAAATGTCTGAGGAAGAAGTCCACCCTTCAACAGAATCTCAAAGCGAGAGGTTGTTCGCGGCTTTCCAGAGCCGACACATACGTCTTCGTTTGCACGGCACACGTTTACCTTCAAACTATACAGTCGTTTTGAGACTCCCATCACATGACGATCGGAGCTCACAACCTCGAAAGCCAAAGCGAAAACGACGGCGCATCATAAAGTCCGACAAGCTACTGGCGAGTGGCAGCGATTCGGAGAGTGTGAACTTAGTCCATGAGAATGCTGAAGAAAACGAGAAGGAGAACATTGAGGCTGCGATGGCCTCCGAGGATGAAGAAGAGGTGATGCGTATTAACAATGCATATCCCGGTTCTTTCAACACTATAGGGTCCGTTCATCAGCGACACTGGTTCATCACTCTGGACCGTACACTTTCTGGCTTCCGCAAGGAGAATGGAGCGTCACGATGGACCGGAGATTGGGAGGCTTTCCATGTCCTGGGCCGCGAACACGAGCGCAGCATTGTCACGGGTAGGCTCGCCGATGAAGTCATGGCCGATGATGGAGTTGTAAAATTCGTGGGTCGCAAGATGTGGAGGCCCATAATTGAGTAAATACATGTGACTTACTCCGTCTCTGCTGCCTGACACTCTCAACGAAGCTTACGAGTATGGGGCAAGACGACTCCGTTTCAAGCGATCTTCTCGATCCCTCGATTCGAGGTTCGGATCGCAAAACCACAAGCGTTGTGTGGAAATCGAAGACACGACTCCGAGGCCGGCTGCTTCTTTTCATGCTCGCGTTGTAACGACCCTGCTCTGGCGGCGGTCTCTTTTCGGACCCATAGAGCCTGTTCGAGTGTCCTGGTCTTTGCAATCTCGCAACTTCTCATCGGGGGGAGCTGCTCTTCAACTCTTTAAGGGCACGGTTTTTGTTCGAATAATCTAGTCCAGATACAGAATATGAACTACCTTGTCTTAGAATGTACACAAAGCGCAATGCCTCCTAAGACAAATCCCATGCCTAACCAGGTGTCTGGAAAATAGTTAGCGATAATAGAATTACAGCTGGTCACTTCCCATTGCTCACCTTTCGATATAACCTTACCATCCGCCCACCACTCCCCCAGCACGGTGAATAAGAATGCTAGAGAATTCGTGATCGGTACCGTTAGACTCAATTCTGGAGGCGTAGTGTCAGATTGTTGCAGCAATGATGGCGGAACTCAATTGCGACCCACCAGCTTGACCAATCAAGAGGAAGAACCAGACGCTGCCGGTGACGTTCAAAAGCAATGGTATAGCGTAGCTCGGATTCTTCAGCAAATCAATGACAGCGTATAGCACTCCCCAAAATTTCTTCTTTATCCAGGGCGTGTTGGGACTCGTCAAGTATGGCCGTGTTACTTGTGGCTGCTTGTCCCTGGCAACGGCAGCTTTTCTCATGAACGGAGTGGTGAGTCCCCAGCATGCTCCGACCTGATATTGTCAGAGAGTGGGATAATATGTGTGAAGACTCCGTGGAATCAGGGGTTCGAGTGACAATACCATGAGGAAGCCCACAACCCAGCGCCATATTGAAGGTGAAGAAATTGGTTGTGAAGGAGTATCGGGATCCATTATGTGATTTTTGGATGGCGCGCTATTGATTGTAGTTGACGCGAAGTGAAGTGTCGTTTGAACACGCGCAAGCTTCACCGGCTGGCCCGGCTCGGCATCATGGGTGAATTGTTTGGTCTGCTTCGTCACCAACCTTGAAACCTTCAGCGGATCGATACGATCGTCACATCTACGAACCGGGCAGTCGCAATGGCGGCGTACTGTTTTCATACGCTCCCGTCACAACCTTTTCATCAAGGTCACTGACGCCTCCACATCCATACTCCGTACCAGCTCCGAACAGCTTCCGCGAACTTCGATAAGCCTCTCCACACACCCGAATCTCAGCACCATCGAAACAAGAGCCGAACAGCATGGCAGACTGCGGCTTTATACCACTTCCGCTGTGTATTCAGTGCGGCACTGATCAGAATCCCTGTCACGTCAAGATAGTTGGGCCAACTCTGGGATTCGCTGTCGGTGTCCTTATGGCTGTGAGTTAGCACGGCAACACGAGACAGCGACGCAGCTCACACACTGCCAGATCGTCTGCTGGCCAGCCTCAATATTCTGCGGTTGCTGTGCTACCGACACGGGAAAGAGAATGCTTGGTGCCCCTGCCGATACGTCTGGCTCGGTCTCAAATTGTATACCATTTTGAGCGGGTCACCAGTACTATGTCCACTAGGAAAGGTCGAGCGGTTGCTGAACGCTTGGAAAGATGCTGCAGATATGAGCTGGGATCATCGGCAGAGTGCAGAGGCACAAGGCATGAAAATAATACCAGGGCGTATGAATGCTGGAAGCTGCAGCAGTCGAATCAGTGAGGCGATGACACTGGACTTCGCGCATATCATCCTCGTTGCAGGCAGCATATGCGAAAAGGCTGTAGGTTGCGCATACTCCAATCTCCTTGCGAATCGTTATCGCCTTCGTTGGCACATCTGCTGGAGTGCTGCTTGTCTCACCTCGTAGGCAAGACATGCATGTTCCGCCAGTGGACTTTTCCGCGCAAATATCACATTCGTCATTATTCATTCACGCAAGCACCTTTACTTCATATTCGGCAGGCTTTTGCTGCCCATATCAGCTGCTCCCTCAACAGCGCGATCATGTCTACCTCGGTGCATTGTGATCGAGCTCGATTGTCTTGACCCATCACTCTTCATCGAATCTTAGTCGCCCACTGGCTCCTCCAGCATCTCCATCTTCGGTCGAGGCGCCCGGCAGGTAAACAGGGTTGCAGCCATATCATCACGATCGATACTTTGGAGAACGAACTTCTCCACTGGATGACCCGCGCAGCTTCTAGATCTTCGACCGATCTTCAACTGAAACCCAAACGGAAACATCTCAAGACCGCATCACCCACACCAATCCGCCACGCAGCCGCGAATGCAATGTCGCTCGGGCTGTTTGTCATTTCCCCGTCAAAGGCGCACATAAGCCCGACACCCTTCACGAGGTTCCGGGCTGAGGATGAAGCCGATTCGTTTGTTGTTCCTCGCATGGCCCAAGATGAAGTATTTGACCTCATCGACGATTTCTACGGCGCTTCACCGCCACGACCGACAACTCCTGGGCCTGATTTTGGCGACGCTGAGTTTGTTGATATGATGGAGAACCTGGAAGAGATCGAAAAGTCGGCCCTGAACCCCGACAGCGATCTGGAGATGCATGATGTCTCTCCATCACTTCATGCCGCAAGTGCGCTCGACATCGAATCATCTGCAGTTTCCCCTGCGCTTGCTCCCACTTCGGAGCGCGAGCCGTCCGGCGATAACGACGATCATATGTCCTACGACGCATCCCCATCTCCGACAGTTCAGATGGCGCACTTGGTCGACGTCGACGCCTCCGCGCCTTCCACCTCGCCCAAAACTAGGCAACGACACCACAGCCCGTCCCTGCCAGTGTGGCCGACAAACGACGCATCCCATTTGCGACAGTCACCAGATGCTTCCCCGTCGCAATCATCAGCGATGCCGCCTCAAATCACGCTCGAAACGAAGACGCCACAACACCAGCACCCTCACACACCTGTTCTACCATTCACTGGCAATATGAAGGGCCCGGTGAGAGGAAGCTCTGTCGGTTTCTCCACGGGTGGTCACAGATCGTCCATGCAAGGAGAGATGCGCGAAGAGGAGCAAGAACTTACCAACGGAGATTTGGGAGATCTCCCACCATTTACAGGCTTCCAGAAGGTTTGCAATGGCTCGAGTGGGGACAAGGTCGATTCGCTGCTCGCGGAGGGCCATTCAAAGGCAGCTCGCGACCTGTCCAGCTCGCGTGACATTGTTGCGAAGCAGGTCACTGCGGCCGTCAAGCCTGTGCTTGTGAAGCATGAAGCTGTCTCACAGCCACCGATCGATGTCGCTGCGATGGGCAGGGAAGACTCTCAGCTGGGCTCAGCTGCCACCAAGAACTTGAAGCGTAGTCGGCACGATTCATCCCCATTCAATGCGCCCGCCAAGAAGGCGAGACATCACTCGCCAATTCTCTCATCGGAGCCTTCTCAAATTCCTCCCAAGCAGGATGCCAACGGGACAAAAGCTACGCTTGTGGAAGAGAGTGACTCTTCTTTAACCGACATTTCATTATCGGCGATTCTAGCGGAGACTCCCGAGCAGCTTGGCCAGCAAATTGAACCGCCTGCTGTATTCCCACCCCAGAGTGACAAGCGTGAGCGTAAGGACTCGGTCGCGATGTCTCTGCGCGACTTCAAAGCAGAGATAACATCTTCGCCAGTGAACGAAGAGGCTGTTGCGAAGCATACGACGGCGACCCCAAAGGTATCGCCTAAGAGAAAGCGTAGCAGACCAGCCGCCAGCGCTAATTCTGGGCCCACCGCGTCGAAGACCAGTGGCAAGAACAAGAAGCCGGCGCCCGGATTTGATCTTAAAGGCATCACTGAAGCTGGCATTTTGGGTGACGTGCTGAAGAGCAAAGGACCACGACAGACTAGGGGACAGCAGAAGGCAATCGCTGATATCAGGCCTGACCCTGCTCAGGCGGCCAAGCGTCGCCACACTGATCACATCAACTACAAGGAGTAGCAGAAGATCGCATCGTGAGAACCAGGAAGAGTGAACAGCAGGACTTGCAGGAAGGCAGGACATATCACTGCATTGGGTCATGAGAAGAAGATTGTATGACTTGAGATGATGCTGGGATTGAGCTTGTCTGAGTGACAGGCGCAGCCAGCTCTACTTTGGCGCAAATTACTGTCTCTTTGTATTCAAAAGTTGATACCATCAGATGCAGTTTGCCAGAACTTCATCCCCAGCCCTTGATGTAACTCCATATGTGGACATTGTTGGCAAGTAGAAAAGCTCCGCCGGTTATGTATATGTCTGACCGCTGGAGAGGTCGTGGCCGCAAATCGTCAAAAACATCGACGTGATCTGCGTAAATCATGGGAACCAACACCAGGATGACTCGAACTACCCAGTCCCAAAGTGAGAGCAAAGCAGGTATGCCAAAGACTAATCGCTCAGCAACAAACAGCCTAATTACAATCCGACAATACGGTCCAACATACGAGGCATCCTGTTGAACGAAGTGATCCAATTCGGAGTGCGGGAATGAGCGGATATCCTTCAATGCGTCTTGCTCATCGATCTTGCTCACTTCGGAAGAGTAGCTGGCAGCGGCTGGAGGACATCGTAGACTTCGCAGAAGCTTCCATCGTTGACGCTCGAGCCACTTGGGCCTTCGGGGCGGCGGGATAACGGATTGCTTCATATCCTCCATGGCGTCCAGCAAGATGGGGAGTGCATGAGCGCCTTCTATGACCAGTGTGCGATTCCTTTCGTCGGTTGCGAGACTCTCTCTATCGAAAGCCTCTTTGGAGTGAGCGTAATGCACGAATCGACTGTAGAATGCCGGTGTCAGGACCTTCAGAGTGACCGTGCTGGTGTGTGCTTCTTCGTAGGTGAATCGTGGGGAATATAGAACGATCTCGCCATCTTCATTATGAGCCGGCTCATAGATGACGCGGAGTGCTTTGTCGGAACGTTCGACAACGTGCGTAAGGAAGGCACGAAAGATGACCTCCAGTCGTTCTTCATCATTACTATAACTTCTTCCGAGATTGGTCGGAGCAGTTTCGGGTCGGTACCAAACGTGCAGCTTGCGCCGGAAAAAAAGCCTTTGAGCTTCCCAGACAATGCGAGGATATGTCGCCAGACCAACCCACCACCAGCCAATGATGAACTTGGTCAGTTGGAAAGTCGTTATCGATTCTGGGTCCACGGGTGTTCCTTCAGACATCACGCGAGCAACGATCTTTGCAGTGTCTTTCGATGAACGGAGGACAATGGTGTTGTCTATCTTGACGTGGCCGGTCTTCTCGTATGCTGCCAACKGATCAATCGCTCTGAGAGAATAGGTTCCTTTCCGACTATTGAATGGAGAGACGTGGAAGTCCTTCTCCCATGTATCGAACACCAGCGTTTTGAGGCCATCCGAATTATATTCGTTGGCGGTCTTTGCGTTTCCGGACTTCAGCAGGTACATCCTTCTTTCGTCAAAGGTATTGTTGACTTCCAGGACCATGTACTTGAGTTTTGTGTCGGAATCATACAGATACCAGAAAGAAACGGGGTTGAAACTGTAGCCGAGAAATCGAGGTGCTGTGACAAGATATGCAAACGCATAGTCTCTGTCGGTAACTCCGTTTGCATGAAGGTAACGCTTCAACTTCTCTCCTATGCCATGCTGTATCTTGGAACGAAAGAGGAAGTCCTTGGAGCGAATGTCGAACCAGCCGGGATGCTCGCTATCAACAGACAAAACACCTTTGACACTGCCGTGGAATCCAACGGGCACCCCAACAAACAGGTAAGAGTATGAGAAGGCATGCTTCTCGGGAACTATCCTTGCATGGTTGGTTCTGCTCGTGATGAGCAAGGGAGGTAAGAACGATTCTTCCGTCGTTTGTTGACGCAATAGCCCACTCTTCTCCAACTCGTTCAGTTGGCCACCCCGATAGACGATTAGGCCTGCGAACATCGCACAAGTTACGAGTAAACCGAACATGTAGAGCGACGTCCGCAGAGATCCATCCCTGCTTGCAAGTTGGCTGATGGTCGTGATAATCGCAAGCGGACTCCAAGTTCCCGTCCACAGGCAATAGGCATTATGAACGAGGAGTATCAACGCCAGATCCTGGACCCACGTTGTATCGTGCGAGAATTTTCCTCGGACCACCCACAGCGGCTGGAAGAAAACAATTCTGAACGGTAAGGAGTTGGCCGCTGGGGTAAAAGCGATCCATAATACCCTCGTGAAAGTCCAGAGCAAGACCAAGATTGTTGACTTGGATCTAGGCATTTGCTCGGGTGCGTCCCGCGGATCCGCTGCCATGGCGCAAGGCTATACGCACGAGCAAGAATTATCGCCAACGAGCGGATTTGAAGGCTGCTCTGTTCTCCTGGTTTTCATTCTTGCTTTGCGGAAAGTGATGACGATGTAGTCGGTGGAAAATGTAGTACGCGGGTGGTCTTAGCTTTCATCAGGGACCGATTCGGCTCCGTGTTTTACGGAGTATTGTTCCCATTCTACGGAGTAAGTTACCTTCAATTGTCACATGCGATAAATAATATTACACTGTCCCAGCAGCCTTTGCTTTTCTTCTCAAGAGTGACGCAGTTCTCATTTGGTAGGCGGCTGGCCGCCATACCAACGGTCTCTCCCGATGCCGATTCCTACCAAGTCGACACTGAATGCTGCCGGTATAGACTGCCGGGTCTCAAATCTAATCTACATCATCGGAAGATATGAGGTATACTGCGCTTCCCGAGAATCCTTGTACAGCTGCACCCACAGCTCATCTGATCGCGAAGAACAGTGGCCGTGCGGCAAACGATTTTGYCCCCATCTGCGAAGAAGCTGTATCCATTGGATGCGGAATTCATGCCAGCGAGACCATGTACATCTCAAAAGCACCCCTTCCACATCGCACCTGAGTACTCCAAACGCTGCGTCTACTTTTTCCGAACAGCCAGAGTTGTTTGTTCGATGGGCACTACCCCAACCCTAACCCTCCACTCGATACTGACCGCGAAGGAACACCAAGAAGTAGGTAGATGCGTAAAGGCAGGCAGCGTTCGCTTGACAACTCTTTTGATACTACGGAGATAGTCCATCTGTACCGCACAGCAAAGCGGCGAAAGTATTCAAACTGTCGCATTGTACCTTCGTGTCCTGTTCATGCCCAGGTTCCAGCATGTCAGTGTATACCAACCACTACACCACTGGCCATCCCGAACTCCAATTGATCTTGTTCCAACCAAATCTCTTATCACCTAAGCAAGAGAAGTCAGCACGTTGGAACATAATGTATGACAGAGCGAGACTTCGAAGAACATTCAAAGCGTCTGTCCGTCGCTCCAACTTACCATCGGCGTATCCGATTGTCGTGTCAACGTAATGATATGCCAAGACCCAGCCATTGACGCTATCATTGTAAACACTTTGACCTCCTGGGCCGTAAACGTTTCCATGTGATTCCTGGGGATGAGGTCAGCCATCATTCCAAAGCAAAAACAGACAAGAGCATGTCCTGATGATTGACGTACGAGAACGACAGTGCCACCTCCTTTCAAGCAGTCAACGCCAGATTTGTCAACCTGTGATGAAATTGTCAGCAGCTTCAAATAATACCACAAACATGAAATGACATACAAAACCGCCGTCGGGCTTGGAAGAACGGCAGACTTTGATCTTGTACTCCTCTCCAGCCGCCGGCCTGCTTGCATCGTACCCACAGCACTTGCCACGGGAGAAGAACATGTAGTAGAAGTTACCATATCTAAGATTACATCAGTATGCATGCTGAAGTGACCATGCATCACTCCAGCTTACTTGACCAAGAATGCACCCTCCTCTGGGTGAGTGCTAGATGGATCGAATGAAATCTGCTTTGCCGTGCCGGATGCAGAGGTCGGAGGGCTCTTCATTGATACTTGATAGATGTTACTCCAGAACGACCCGAAAGTCAATCGGAAGGTGCCCGAGTCGTTCAGGAGGTTGGCATCCTAAAAAGAAGAGCGAAAGATAAGCAGAGATATCGGGCGTTAGGCATCTGCACACAGTTGTCTAAACGAATGCGATCGTCGGGACTCACAATGGCGTTGTATGCCGAGCCTGTTTTGGACGCTACGCCGACGCTGCCCCTATCACTGAAGCTGCCGCAGTCCATTGTGGTGGAGCTCGCCAAGCCAATTCCACTGTTCTGGGATCCAAAGGAGCTGACGCTATAGTAAACATAGTACGTGCCTGGTAGATTGGTTAGAAGGGGTTGGACAAACGACCCACGCGGAGGAAAGGTACCATCGACAAGAGACACATCCGGAGCCCTATCAGATCAATCAGCATCCATTCAAGGACTGTTCGCAAGTACCATCCTAACCATAAATCGCTACCATCATTCCCAGAAACCGTCAATTTCGCATTGCCGGTGAGCATCTCGCATTTGAACGTCCAGGGTCCTGTCAAGCTAGGAGCGGAGTGGATCTGGATGCCTCCCGACGTTGAGAACCGGAAGTATGTGCCATCGGACCTCTTTACGATGGAGGGATCATGAGTGTTTGTGCAAACGCCTGAACACGCGCCGGGGTTGGCTGCCTAGACTTAGCCAGGCTCACAGACCGTATACACCCCTCGAATGTCTCACCATAGGAGTGAACGAGCGTTGTGAAGGCGCCGAACAAAACAGCAGCGTATCTTGATAACATGTTCGCTTTGACCAAGAGAGTGAAAGGATAGAGGTGTGAAATACTTCCTCTTATATGTACATATAGGTGAGCGGGTCGGCATGATATGCTGGTGTGCTTTGGCTTGCTCCAAAGTTTCACGACTTCACATCAACAATTTACCACCAATGACGGGGAGTGGTAGGAAATGCCTAGTCGAAGTCCATGTGTTGCTGCTGTGTTTCACAGGGACTCTCACCCGGCAGATCTCCAAACGATCATCGTTCTTCCGTCGAGTACGGCAATGCGGTTCGTGTGTGTTGGTCAAAGCCGCCTTTACGTTCCCTAGCTCCGGCGTGGAACCTCGACTGGCCATATCATCAGGCCTAGCTGCGGCATGAGTGAGATGCTGGAGTTGAATCTGGAAGGTCGTCCAGTGAAGCTCGAGCATTATGCAACTACGGAGCAAGATCCCGAAAGAGCAGGGCGAGCATAGCGGAGCCTTACCTGATACAAGTGGATGCATGCTAGTCGTGCCGGGCTTGAACTGTGAATGTCCACTTGCTCTCATCAGCAAGTGTAGACCGAGATACCCCGGACACTTGGATTATCCGTGACTCCAGGTAAACGATGCGAGATGCCAAAGCCGTCAGTAAGATGCCAGCCAAGACCTTTGCTCTGCGCCACGGCTGAGCACCTCGGCCTGTCACGTGTGGTGCTCTGGCTATTGAGCGTCCGTCCATTGAGGACATGCGCTTCCGCAGCTACAGCGGCTGGCTCTCTGCGGCGGAGGTTTGTCAGACCCACAGAGTCCTCTCGAGCATCCTAGCGACCGTGCCTTGGCAGTGAATCGCGAGATTGTAGCAAAAGTGGGCCTTTGATGATTATGAATATCTAATTCCGATGCGGGCGACGCTGCAGACTGAGAGGGAGATGGAAGATGTCAAAAGATAGGTGTGAGGGGAAATATCGAGGGGGAAAGTCGCGRGACTTTTCGGGCCGCCTTTGGAGACCATAAATTCCACAAACTCACGTCCAAAGCCAACATTCGCACGCACATAAAACCTTCGCTACGCCTTGAGAGCCGGCCGGACATTTCGTCTAATTCTAAATGGAATCCACAAAGACACGCATATTCCGAACCGATACCGACAGTGCCCATCCGCCGTAAAAGCATCCTAGCCACCGCACACCGCCAAGTGCAAAGTACTACTTACTACCTGTCGAGGAGGAGGGGAAAGAAAAAGATCGGAGGCAACCGCAAACATGCACGATCTGCGCAAAAAGGCGCTGCTGGAGAGCGGAAAGACGCAGTCGAAGAAGTCGAAGACGCGCGAGAGCACTCCGCCCATCAGCCGGGGAATCTCACCAGCATCATCGCGGCGCGGATCCCGAGTCGCGAGCCGCAATGTATCCGACGACGAGAGCGAGCTGAGTGATGGCACGCAGTGGGGAACGGACAGCATCGACGCCTTGATCGCGCCGAGTGAGGTGGAGGCCGAGGACGAGGAGGATGCATGGGTCGCGGATTTGAACGAGCGCATCGAGGCGCTGTGTGATCGGAAGCGCAGCGCGACCGAAGGCAGGGAAGACGTGATGCGCGGCGTATGCAGCATCATGACTCGACACTACGCGCAGATGGAGCTCCGGCCAAGACTCGGCGAGCTGCTCTCAAACGTCCTCAAGTCTGTCAAGAGCGGACAGAGTGAGCGGGAGGTCGTATTGGCACTCAAGCTGATCGCCTTGATCCTGGTCACTGACCCCTCCGAGACCATCTACGATGCTGTCTCAGGCCCCTTCAAGAACACAATCAACGATTCTCAATACTCAGAGGCCAAGATCGCTGCCATTCATGCCCTAAGCGTGGCTACTTTCTACGGCGGCGCGTCCGAGGAGGAAACGGAGGARAACATGGAGTTCTTCCTCGACATCGCTTCATCAGACGGTGCCGTGATTGACGAAACTGACAATGCCCAAGCGGTCGTCGCTGCCCTCGAGGAGTGGGGTTTTCTGGCCACCCAGCTCGATGACGTGGAGGACATGACCGAAGCCGCCATGGACACTTTTGTCGATCAGCTGGAAAGCAGCGATGCCAATGTACAGATTGCAGCCGGCGAGAACATTGCGCTGTTGTACGAGAAGAGCTACACCGAGGCTGAATCGGACGACGAGGAACCCGAAAAGGACGACGAAGACGAGCAGCGAAACCCCGGGCCGCGCATGGTGAAGCGATACACCGTCTATCGTCAGGCCCACCAACTTCAGCAGCAACTCGAGGCACTTGCCAAGGCGTCCTCGAAGCGGATTTCGAAGAAGGACCGTAAGAATCTTCATCTCGCGTTCAAGGATGTCATCACCACAGTCGAGAAGCCGGCCCGTGGTCCCCGCTACAGCACTGCTCTGAACGATGAAGGCCGCGAATACGGGTCGAGGCTCAAGGTTTCAATTGGGAGGAACAATAAGATGACCATTGACAAGTGGTGGAAACTTCACCGTTTGAATGGGTTGAAGCGTCTTCTTCAGGGTGGATTCCTGATACATTACGAATTCAACCAAACCGTCTTCGACAGCCTGCCTGTTATCATCGAGGATGATTAGATTGACGGAGAGCGCTTTGGATAGGTACCTACCATCGACCGCTTTTAGGGGAGATGCATTTGAAATGGCGTTACGACGATGACGGATTGACGAAGTTCATGGATCTAGCATTCTTATAGTACGAGTTAATTTGCAGTCCCATTAATATCTGCCCCGCCATCGGTCATACGGTAGCTGCGTGCTCATTGCATGTATCCTTGAGAAGGTGTGTTGAATGTATTGCCATTACATACAGTCCCGCCAGATGATTACTCTGGGATTTCCGCATTAACCATTTGATAAACGTCAATTTCTCATTGTTGTTACTTTCCCTTCCCCCAACTTCTCGCTCTGGAGATAATGTGTGATGTGTTGACTTTATCAGCTGCGAAATTACTGTGATGTATCAGGAGACCACGGCTGATCTATATAATATCGGACTTCACGCCAAACTACACCAACGAGTTCCTGAGGTGCGAAAGTGCTGGAGACCAGGTGGGCCCTACTGGCGACGAGCAGAACATAGGTTAATGAACTGCAAAAGGGCGTTGCTGCAGAAGGAGGCCGCCTGAAGGATCTAAGGTAACCATCCGAAATAGGCAGGCGAAACAAGCTGGATCTCACAACCTCATCTCTGGTCTTCCATTCTTTATGTATATAAGTTCAAGTCATGCGTGAACGAACACAATGTTTCATGCTCCTTCCTGTTGAAAGGTCGGGTATAGTGCCATCATATCACTAACCGCTCACAACCTACGCCTGCTATGCACACGTTCAAAGCATCCGCTAGATTTTTTCATGTTGAAGGACACGCTGCAGCTCCATCTCGCCTCTACTCTAGTTCTTGGAGTTCTGCTGTTGCTTCATCTCAAGAATGTGATCGTTGATGAACCATCTCTGAAGTCTTTTGGGGTCGACAGGCTCAGCTCCCTGGACTGTTCCGAGGCACACATCCTTTGGAGCTCCGCACAGGCACTCAAAGGGACGGTCAAACTTCCATTCCGTGCTGGGGTAGAAGAATGTTAGAGCATCACCAGGTTCAATGCCTCGGTCTTTGGAGACAACGACCTCGCCGGCAAGGCCAGCACTCTGGAGGTGTGCACTCTCGCCATTGAGTTCGCCATTTGGCGGAGCGGATGGGTACTTTCCGTCTGCATCGGGTTTGTAGGTATGTATTTCTACGGATGGTGCACAGCTGTGGTTCATGTCTGTACGATCATTAGGCATCTTGCGGGAGCAGATCTCATCAGGATTACTGACAGAGCAAAGCACTGCGTGGATCCGTGTGCGTGGTGGGTGACGTCTGAATGGTCTTCCATGATGGACGTGGCATTGGCGCATGGCTCGTGATGTATGCGAAGTGGGCTCCAGGTGATGCGGAGATCTTGGATACCAAGCTAAGTCCAGCTTCGGTGTGCTCGAATGCTGCTATGTCTTGCAGACCGTTGACCGTGAGGGGGTATTCGGATTCGGTGGTGAGGACGATGGTCTCGCCGTTGGTGGATCCATTGGTTTTCGTCATGTTGTGATATCTGCAATTGAACTCGAAAATGTATAACAGTAGTGACAGGAGGATCGAAAAGGTTGAGAAGATGCCAGGGCGATTCAAACCGAGGCTTGTGACAGCCACAGCCGATCCACAATATTTGTTAGAGACAACGACTTACAGCGACGTTCCGATTGTCCGTCGGTTAATGTAGTCAGTAAGGTAAGGTGGCCTATTACACTTTGCATGGTCGATTGATTGGATCTAGAAGCCAATAGATGGTCGGAATTAGTATACCTACCCTGGACTGTCAAGCACATCTGTGAGCTCCCCGGGCCAGTTTCAATCGACAGGGCTCCGCACGAGCTGCAGTGCAAGTAGTGCAGCGTTGGGGGGAGATCAGAGTAAAYGCGTTGTGGGTCTCCTCGGCACCTCCGGTGAGCAGTTCTGTGTTGGTGTAGTAATGCCGAAAACAGCTGCAAGTCTAATATCCGGTCATGATCCATGGAGGTTGCAGCTCACGGCTGGGAGTGTGCTTTGCTGAGAATATTGGGATGGCCAAATTACTGCCGCGTGAGCAACGGGATTGGAGGCTGATGAGGTCGAGAAAATGACCACAAATACCCAATTTCAGTATGGGGGCTGCGCGTCCTGCTGATTTTCCAAGAGACAGGGAGATCTACCTCCTCCATCCATTGCTCCGAGAGCGCAGACGGGAGCAGCAATGCCGTGATCCGCGACGACGGACTGATTGTGAACTGGTGCATCCGGTCCCATGCTGGATGCATGGCTTCTGAGGATTGTATGCGACATGGCAGATGTACATCGTCTCGACGCATTGGAGTGGAGTAACTAGAAGCGCATCAACGTCCTTTGCATGCTGCTCTCGCCTGAATTGCCTGAGGACCATGGCGAGCTGGAGTCGTCTAGGCCATGGATTTCGCTCAGATGCGCCGAGCCGTGGTGAATTCTTCTCGTATGGCACCTGAAGATCATCAGCTCCACACTGGCATGGGAGGGGACTTCTTCATCCTCCAGCGGCATTCGGCGTCGATCGAAGGATTTTCAGCGYTTCACAGGAAGCATGTGATTGTTGGCGCTGCTTCATGCTATGGCCAATGCGACGCAGCGAACGTTGAAGCCAGGCGGCATTAGTCTTCAGTTCGAACGAGCGCCTCGTCTAGGAACAGGCATCAAAGCTCACGAGAGATAGTCCCGATCAGACAGGCTATCTACCTAGCATGGCAGTCAAACTCGTCGCTTTTGCCGCCTTGTTGGACTACGCTTTCCCCAGGCCATACATCATCCCGAAAAATCCAGATGGCCACGAGTCCTCCGGCTCCGTCCGTTACTCACTATCAATGGCCATACTCGCTGCTTTCGGCGAGATTAGCCTCAAGAGGCTTCAGGAAAAGAAATGGAAGGTCGTGCTTTTCAACACCTTGTTGGGCGGATTGCTGGAACACGCATGGCTGCTCTTTGATGTGAGGTTTGAGGAACGACAATTCCATCATTTCTTTGTTGCGAACTTCACACGGGAAAAGGCTGATCTGACGAGCCCCAGAACTTGAATACAGTCGACGCATCGTAGGAGGTGGTGTGATGGCGAATGCGGTTCAGCCAAAACTGTCTGTTGATAAGGTAGCATGCCCTTGTGTTGAAATGGGTCCTAATGATCAAGACTGCATGAGAAAGAGGGAGGGCGGCGGGAGAAATTCTTTGGATCTATGTATTTCATAGGCCTGGATATATAATAAGACCGTGATGAATCGGAAGAGAGAGTTGAAGCCGTCATTTACGTACCTGATTTGATTTGCATGTGAAGATGCACAAGCGCAAGGGTTCAAACCGAGCTCGCATCAATCTTCGTACCTACCTTTACTATCACCATCTTCGCGTCCTCCACAAAAGCCGCATTAGCAGTCGGTGCAAGATGAGCAAGAACCCCTCTCTCCCCGAGCTCGAGCCCCCAATCAACATAAAAGATGCCCTCGCAGAGCAGCGCAGCGACTTTGACTGCCTTCCCTGCCGACTAATGGGTATGCCCCAAATGACCTGCATATGGCCTTGCACCCACATCTAATGCCAATCTTGATAGGCTCCACGGCATTCGCAGGTCTAGGAATCTACTCATACGCATCCGGAATGAAACAACTACGAGAGCGCGAATACGAGATTTTGAAATCCGGCTCCAAATTCGGGATGCGCTCAAGACGGGCAGGTATCTATGCTATTTCTGCGACGCTGGTTGGATTGGGGGTTTATAGGTTGCAGAACTAGGCAAGAGGGGGATACTGGCAATCGTTAGAAAACGGCATCAGAAGAGATGGAGGTAGTCAATGCTGAAAATCTGACGGCTTCGAAAGAATGGCTTCGCGGCGGAGTAGTACAGGTCGAAGTCCATACATATGATCGGTCCTGCACTTCGGCAAACGGGTCAATGGAAGTTGAGGCCATGTGGGCAATAGGGAGGCAGTCGCTGATGGACAGCAGATGGACGAGGAATCTCATCTCTATAAGACGGCCACGCCGGGGCGAGATAGGCCATGAAGAGGATCATGGCGGGCCTGTTTACGGCTCCGGCCGTTCAAGGCGCAGAGTTGCATCAGAAACGATCCAAGAGGCGAGGAAGATGAAGCAGCACCACGCGATACAGGCAAATGCAAGCAGTTGGAAGTATGTTGTTGCATATCTCAAGTCGCGCCCTTTTAGTCAAAGGCCCATAAGTATGTCGTGAAACCGAGCTCATCCATTTCACCCGTCTATGCGTTCCCACCCTCACATCATCAAATCGCTGCATGCTGTTCGCCGAACTCCGCTCGAAGCCGTTTCTTCGTAGTCGCTTTCAAGCCCACCTTCATGCCACTTTGATGGGTGTATCGACGGAGCACATTACCCATTTCCACGAGGGTAAACTAATTCTAACCTTGCATACGCTTACGCTTACCGACCTGGGCAGAGAAACCAGTCTTGATGGCAGTGACGGATCGTCTGGATCCGCAGGAGTTGCAGGTAACGAAGTATAGACGGTTCTCGCCCTTGTTCAGCTCGGTATCGGGTGAGCGGCAGGTCTTGCAGGTAACGTACTCGACTAGAGGGGCTTGTTAGCAATGTTTCGTATCCGCTTGGTTCATGTCAAGACTCCTCACCGATATACCGCCGGAGCACGTTCTCAATCTGCTTCTGCTGGAAACGACCCTTGATGACCAGTCTGCGGTTGCCGTCGACGGAGCCGCTGGTTCCCAATTCGGCGAACAAGAACTGCGTCACGTGCTCATCTGTTCGCTTCATGCGCTTGCAGATGTCGTTGATGTTGGCGAATATGGTCTTCTTGTTGCCTTCACGCAGGCACTGTGGAGGAGGAATCTTGTAGCTCTTGCCGCCCGATGAGGCAAGGTCAGGGTGTGAGTCGTGGAGAAGGGCAAAGAATCGATGCAGTAGGCTGTCGTAATTGATGGCCCTGGTCTCATCGTGTGCCCAGATACCGGAGCCGCCGTGAATGTCACCATCTTGCAGACCAGTCGCCTCGGGGTCAGCAGCGGCGGCAGGCTCATCCGCATCTCCAGGCTCTGCAGCACCTGCCGCGGCCAGCTGCTTCTCGAAGTCATCCTCGACGGGCTTCTTCGTCTTGCTCTTCTTCTTCTTCTTAAGCGCACCCAGGTCAATCCCGTCGCCATCCGCATCAGCTTTCTCCTCGCCTGCCTCCTCGCCCTCTTCCTTCTTGGCCTTCTTCTTCTTCTTCTTGGCCAGACCATCGAACATAGCCGTCACTTCGTCCACGGCAGCATCTTTGCTGTGTGAGGCGGCGGAGTCCTTCTCACCGTCATGCGCGCCGTTGGCCTCGCTGACGTTGCCTTCGCTGTCGACCACGATTTGGTCTTCAGCGAAGGCCACCGACTTGCGCGGCTTGTCGTCTGCCATGATTGCGGTTGAGTGTGTTCGTATGTCGGTGTGTGTGTTTCGATGATCAATGTCGGATTTCGCGGTTGTTGTTGCAGGATGTTGTAGGGTTTGTAAGGTCTGGTTTGTCTGGTGTGCGGTTCGGAAGACAAGTGAGTCTTAGAAATTCTGACGCAGTCAAGCGGGGCAAAACAACGGACAGCAACTCGTCGCCTTTACCTGTGTACAACACGGATCAAGCAAGTGATACTGATTTAACAATTCCTCTTGTGGTGGAATACATTTCATTCAGCCACCTTGTATCAGATCGTATTGGATCAATAACCATACCGTCCATTACCGCCAGGCAGGCCATCGCCAGTATCGACCACTAGCTGGAACTCAATCTCCCTGCGCAGCACTTGATATACACATCGACCATCGCAACCACCATCACCTCAATTGCGTGTTTACGTGAGACAAATTTCCACTCACCATGTCCGAAATGGGTTCCTCAAGTTACGCCAACATTCCCTCGCCCGAAGAGGTGGATTCACTGCCATCGTCATCCGCCGGCTCTAGCACATCCATGTCCCCCAGCGAAGAGGAAGAATACAACGATGCAGACCGACAATGGAAAGAAAGCCTACAACAGTTGGAGCTGATGTTGACATTGGTTCTGATTCCTTATGTTGGGAAATACTTCGGCAGGAAATGTGCATATTGGGGTGTGTATCATACGAGCTCCACGCGTCAAGTGAGCCTCGGGATAGAGAGCGTACTGACGATACCACGCAGGTTGGGGCAAGTTCATGGAATGGAAATACCCTGTGACGGTGGATATCACGAGTCCCGGAGCTTTCAAAGGCGCTGGCGCAGTTGAAGCTGCGGCATCCCTATGAGACAATGACCTCTGTCGGAGGTTGGAACAACGATTTCCCAACTCACCCTCTTCAACTTTTGCTGGGCTTTCTATGCAACACTTCACTCGAGGAACGGACCACTTACACACACATACACACACGTGTTGGAAAATGTTCGCGGGACTCACCATCTCACCCGCTGCACGATGAAAGGAGACAGTACGCTAGACCGCCCCTTAACTGGGACGCTGAAGGATGAACCCCAGCAAGCTTGATCGGAGGCAATAGACAAGTGAGAGACACAGAGAGATGGACGGAGGGATAGCTGCACATGACAAAGCCGTGCTCGAGGCAGCTCGCCTTTGTACAACA